TTACTTCTTGATACTGTGCTGTCCTGATCTCTCACTGATCGTATCAACAGTACACTGCATGAGTTTAGTAAACTCTTGACAATTGTCGTCTCGTTGCTTACTTTTTATTGTATTTTGTAATGTAGATGAGGGTAGCAGTGAGTGATGATGTGAAAGACAGGAAAGAAGAGCAAAGGAAGGAGATTGCTCCAAAAATGAGAGTTTCCTATCTTCGGATAGGTGGACACACGCCCTTATTTGCTAATTTTTGTGGTTGTTTATGTGCTGTTCTAGTTTTTATTTATTTCTGTTATGAAACCTTTATTTTTCAAGTTTTTACACTCTGTGTGGCTACAAATGATATTCTGGATGCTTAAAACAGAGCACAAGAAATTCTGGTGTTTTATATTAAGTTACCTCTATCTCTTCTATTGCTAGAAGGAGAACATGCGGTGTTATAATAATACTAATAATAATTGTTTCACGGCGCAATGAAATCAGGCGCTGGTCAAGTTGCTACTGGATATTTTAGGTCATTTATCTCTAGCCTGACAAAATGTTTGCTTTCTTTTAACATAGTTGAAAATGCTAACAGTATTGTCAATACCTTTTGCACTTTCTTCCAACAGGTTTACTTGTATGAGTACACTGAAGAATGTGAGGCGTCAAAGAGCCCTCGACATGTGAGACCTTTTGCGATCATCAAAGTCAAGCAAAAGAAGGTGGACAATGTACAGATTGATGCTGTTCCCAGGCCACTTTCAGCTCCGCAGATAGGTGTATCGACCAATTTGTCAAAAGCATATAGTTCTGTTTCTGAGAAGCCAACAGAGACGAATGTCCCTCCTTCTCTTTCTTCTACTGTTACAAAGACTCCGTTCACATCGTCATCTTTTCCTGATACACCGGCAAACACAAGAAATGAGGAGGGTTCTTTATTTTGGCCCAGGGCAGGGTCAGGGTGTTTGGAACAGTCTAAGCCTCTTCATCCCTTGATGAGCTGTCAGCCCGCCGTTCATGGTTCTTTGCAGTCAGCACCAAGAGAGCCATTTTGGAGTTGTAGTAACAGCAGGGACCCTAGACTAGCTCCGATAAATGCTCCAGCCCCTACTGCAGGTGCCCAAAGACTGGATCCACGACTCCAGCGACGCCAGTCTTCTTGTCCTGACGGGAGTGGACCATCACAACCCTCTCAGTCAACGGCCTCAAAAGGGGAGGGTGGGAAATCTGAAGGGAAAAGAAAGGTTTCTTTAACAGAGTACAAGATGCTGAAAAGGTCGGAGTCAGAGACAAGTAAAGAACAAAACCTGAGAGAAGCAACCAGAGATACAACTCATCAGGCAGCCGCTTCCCAAGTCTCCTCTCAAGGACATGTGCGGCCACTGTTTCAATCGTCTCTGTCTGCTCCAGGTTATGTCAACTTTCCTCTCACCAACTCCTCCGCTAATAATTATCAAAACTTTTCACCATCTGCTCAAAACCAAAGTCCTCAGCCACAAGCTTTTCCCCCCAGCAGATTGGCCTCAAACTCTGGACTTAATTGTGATTCTGTTAATCCAAGCACTTACATCAATATGCCAACTTATCCACCACCTGTAATGACAACAGGACCACCTCATCAAGGAATCGCCCCTGCTGGTCCAACCACAGTGGGTGACATGGCACAGCCCCCTGGGCAAGGCGTGTTCACCAACAGTGCTGGTGGCTCACCCAAAACCATGGCGCGCAAGCAAAAGTCTTCCTCTCAATTGTTGCCTTTGCCAGTTATCAATGAGGATGGATCAGTGACTAATGTATTTCGGGGTATCGTACGAGGAACTGTCAGAGAGGTGAGACTTCCAGCAGACGTGACCAAGAAACAGCCTAGTGCTGACAAAACGAAACCCACTGCGAACAAGGTTCAGACTAAAGCACTGGAAGGGAAAGTGTCAAAGAACATTCAGGCTTCTAATCCAGTCCAGTCTGACTCCCATGTAGCTCCTTCCCTAGCAGACGTCACCAATAAGACATCCAGTGTTGGTAAAACAAATGTTATCGAGCAAAAGGCTGACAGTAAAGGACACCATGAGAATACTCTTACTAAAAGGGATGGCACTTGTGCTAAAATGTTCACAGATTTTATTGTTGCCACCTCCGGTGATAGTCTTGTGACCAAGCCCCTTGAAGGTGTCAGTGATAGTAAAACAAAGTCTTCAAAGAAGAAGGTGGACAGGGCCAGTGCCAGTGGGTTGGGTTCATGTAGTAAAGCTGTTGATGGGGAGAGTAATGCAAACGGTGAAGGTAAATTTCAAACCTTTGTGAGAGCTCAGACGAAAACAACAGCTGCGCCAGACGCTCTGATGGCTGTAGAATCTGTAGGGATTGTAACACGTGAATCTTCTTTGGAGAATGTTACACGTTCATCATCACACCAGCGGTTGTCAGAGAAAATCTGTGAAAAGAAAGAAACCTGTGATGAAACTGGTAATGCTCTTTTAGATCGGAGAATTGCGAGTTGTGATGCCTCTTCCTCCCTGAATGATTTTGCCGCTACAATAAAACAAAATCGTTCAATCATGTCCAGTGTGCTAAAAGATGTGCAGGAACTTATTTCTCGACGAGCTAAAGAGGTGGTCAGCGAACTTGAAGAAGTTAATAACACATCCCCTGCCCCCAGTACTACTGATGAGGAAGATGAAGAAAATAGTCCATTTAGATCATTATTCGGGGATGCTGAAAGTCGTGCAGACAAAGCAACCCACTCTGAACTGGGGCATGAAGTCGATGCGAGTGGTACAGTTGTTGACAAGTTTTGGGATTCTGTTGCTGCCAAGCCACAGTGGCACGGCACCGCTGGGGATTTGGACTCGCTCCCTGTTCCGTCTAAACCTAAAGTAGTGGCTCCACCCCTCAGGCTAATCCCTGCTCTGCTAGAAGAAGGCCAGGAGACTGCGGAAAACGAAGATGATTCTGTTTGCGTTCGTTCGAGTGAAGCTACAGGAAAAGTCCAAAGAGACATTTGTGGTCGAGAGACTTCACTGTCGGTTACTGATATCAGTCATTCTATCATGGAGAAAAATGTGGGAGAATCAAATGCTGAAGTTCAAGTAGACAGAGATATTCAAGTGTGTGCTCAAAGCACTTTAAATGTTGACAAGACTGTTTCAGAAGCAGAATGTTCCAAGTCCCAGTCAGATTCAGTTCTGGTTGCCAGCTCAGGAGCCCATCCTTCTGGTCTCGACACTCACCAACCGGCCATGTGGGAAGTTGACCCAGTTCTCTCCAGACTAAAGAATCTGAAGCCCAGATGTGAGAAGCCTCTCCCAGCCTCAAAGTCCCTGTCAGAGCTAGGCATACGTCACTACCTCCTGGCTCTGAGTGACATGAGGTTCCAGCCTGAGGTTACCGTTGTGGATTACAGACAGGTGAGGGCTTATGGAATGTCGCTGTAAATTGCTGCTGCTTCTTCTTCTTCTTGTTTTTTTGTTCTTTTTCCTCCTCCTCCTCCTCCTCTTCCTCCTCCTTTTTCCTCCTCCTCCTCCTCCTTCTTCATCTTCTCCTTCTTCTTCTTTGTCTTTTTCTTCTTCTTCATCATCTTCTTTTTCTTCTACTTCTTCTTCTTCTGATTGGTAGGTCAATTATTAACCTTATTCTCAGAATTCAAAAAATTTTCCTTTTCTAGCTTTTTACCCATCTTTGAGCAGTATGTGGGTACTTATTCAGATCTGTACATAAGTCGCTTTTTGTGTTAAGAACTTTGATCCTAAAAAAGATTGAAAAGGTTAGGATATGTAGAGTATAACAAAGAATTTCTCAAAATGATTTAAGGTAGTTGAAAATTTAGAATGCACATTTGAAAAAAAAACAACAACTCGTCTTTGATAATTGAAATTTATTAAAATCTTTCTGAAGACAGTGGTTTTTCTCAGCCCTTTTCTGGAATTGCTCAATTTTAAATTTATGAATCTGGTATAAATCAGCTGGTTTGATTGGGATCATTTCATGTCTTGTGAAAATAATTGATGACGGTTTACACGGTCAGAACCTTTGAGTCAAATCTGTGGATCCTTGGAGAGGAACAGGAATCCAGAGAGATGAGGAAAATTCTTGCATTTTATGACCTTGACAAGTTTTCTTCATGCTCTCTCCAAGAAATGTGCCTTGATTGAATACACCAGCTTTGATGACCTTTTTAAATATAGACTCCTGTCTTCCCCCCCTGCAGCTTACAATCTCTGAGGGTAATGTGCTTCTTCCTTAACTTGTCATAATAAGATATAAATAAAACAGTTACAGTATTTGTGCATGTTGAGAAGAGTGCACGTTTTTGTATTTTTCATTATTCTCATAAGATGTAACTAAACCAAAAGTTGTGAGTTGTACATGTTTTTGTATTATTCATTATTTCAATATGATGTAAAAGTTGTGAGTTTTAACAAAAATTTATTCTGTTCCCAGGCTGTACAAGATGACTTTCACCTGTCGGAGTGTGACATCTGTGATAAGCAGCTGGATAGCGCTGTCCTAGATTCGGAAGGTGTAACTGATGACTCCTCTGGTTGTTCTGCAGCAGACAGCTTCAAAGAGTCATCCACCATCTCTAAAGACGTAGCACCACATCACCGTCCTCTGGATCATCCTCGTCATCGAGGGTTTAGTGGCCCTATTTTGGATTCACCAGATCCTTGTCTCCCCAGCGACCCAGCACCGTCCTACCAGCCTGGAATAGTGGCTGTTGATGGGGGCTCTGCGAGTTTGTCCTATCAGACAACTGTACCTCATGTTGGAGGTCAGTCTGGTACAAGTATTTCTAGAGTCAAGCCTGTGGATATAATCAGACGAGTTCCTTCCAGGAAAACTGTCACCATTGTCGATACGAGCCCTAAAGGCAGGTTGGAGAAGTGTCTGACAACAGTTGTGGGCAAAATGAAGGAAATCAAAAGTGTATATGAACTGTCCCGAGCCAGTGTTGAGTTTTCTGTTAATCGCAGAGATTCAGGAGAAAGCTATACCAGGGAGAGTAGTAAGCCAGCCTTGAATGAAAGCTCAAAGTTCAGTGAAGGTACTACGGAAATGACTGAGCCTTTTGTTGAGGAATTTGACCCAAAGATTTATCCTTCTTATGATAATGAAAATGGAGACATGTATTCTTCAGCTGGAGGATCAAGGAAAAAAAAGGGTCTCGCTTCACAAAAGAGGTCTTCTTTATCTTTGAGGCAGAAGATCCCATCCAAAGGAGACAAAGTCTGCCAAGATTTAGATACTGACAAAACTGTTGACAGGAGTGAGGGACAGACCAGTGTTGTTCTCAAACCCTTTAGTCCACAAATATCTACGTTACCTGAATCAGAAGGAAAACACTTAAAAGCCCAAGAGAAAATACATGACAAGGATGTTGAAACAAAAACACTTGTGGCTTCGAGGAGGAAGAAGGACAACAGCCTCCTTTCGCTGGTTAATAGAAAGAAAGTATGCAGTGATGCCTCAAAGTTTTACACAAACAGAAGCAAATCTCCCGCCAGAGTGGAGAACAAACTCTTAAGTAGTCCTGTAAAGAAGGCTCTGAAGGGTAAAGTATGTCGTCAAGGACATAAAACACATGGATCTGAGCTGCAAAAGGGCAATTCTCCACTTAAGGTGTCATCTTTAGTCAAAAAGTTTTCCGCATCCCAGGTCAAAACTTGCAGTAGGAGAATACTGAGTGCCCCACTGTTAAACAACTCTGCTCGTTTATCGTCCGAACATAAATCCAAAACTGATTCTAGCTCTCAAATCCAGAGTGCGAAGTCATCAAAATTGGACAAACCAGTTGTTGCTCAAACTAGTTCAGCTCAAAGAGATTTTTGTAAAACAAGTTTGGTACGGAAAGAGTTGATGAGGAGAAGTGTCTATAAGAAGAGAGCTGTTGTCAAATCTAATGTTGCTGAGAAATCAAAAGGAGCAGCATTGCCTGCTGCTATTGACATCAGTAGAAAATCTGCCGTACCACTGGGCCGGCCTAAAGTAAAAAGTATCAGTCAAAGTGTGTTGCTCGAGTTAAAGAAGAAGAAAATGCTGAACGAGCAAACGTCTGTATTATCCGAGAGAGTTGAAAACATAGTGGGCGCCGGCACAAATAGTGACAAAACTAACTCTGTTTCTGAAACACGATTTGCACATTTGCAAGAGAATTGCGAGTCTGAAATGAGATCTCCAAATCTTTCTGTGCCTGTCAGTGGAGATTCTCACAAAGAAGCACCAGCTTCTGTCTCAAGATGTGCGATTTCATCCGCTGAAAGTTCGAAAATCAATAGAAATGTCACAGATATATTGGAAATTGAGAAAAATATCCATAATCCTTTGGAAATTGATAAATCCAAAATTAACAGAAGTTCTAGTGGTTTTTCAGAAGTCAGCAAAAATGTCAGCAATACGTCAGAAATCAATAAAGACACACAAGGTGGTGACCCAACTCTTGAAATTGGGAACTGGTTCAAACCTGACGAAGTCCCAGTGGGCCCACAGAAAAAGAATGACAAGTCAGCCGTTGCAAAAGGCATTTCTGTGTTGGAGCCTCTGGCTAAGACAGCGGTTGAGTCCTATACTGGTCAGAAGGCTGCACAACAGACAGAGATACACGCCACAATATCTACGATGTCTCTGAAACCTGTCTTGGGTAAACCTCAACTTGCTATGATGCCCCGTTCTCTTGCTCTGACCAAGAAAAGTAATCCTCTAAAGCTACAGAGAAATCCAGAGATCTCCTCAGGGGAACCATCCACTATAGATGATCCTCAGCCTCTCATATCTCTCAGACTGACTGCAGAATCTCAGAAACATCCGGATGAGTCCAAAAGAAGATCTGAAGACTCTGGGAATGATGTACTGCCACCCAGTAAATGGAGACCATTATGCGCCACAGGTCAGGATGGTGAAAAGAATGATGACAATCAGCCTCAGTCGTCCATACTGGGTCAGCATCAAAACTTGCTCGGCAGCAAAGCATTATTGATTAGGAAAAGGGGTCCACTTCTTCCGACCCCCACATCTGAGCAGGCCCGAACCACCACAACCTCCACACACCTCCAGACACAGTCATCAAGGGAACATATTGTTGCTGACAAACCCAAAAAGGATGAAAGTGTTTTTGCTTCTTCCAGGTGGGTGGCTCCTGCTTTGTCCCATGGTGCTCGCTCAGACCTAGAGTCAACAGGTGCTCAGGAGATTGTCAGTAACTCCAGCCAACTATCATTGTGTGATTCTGTAACAGATAACGGACCACCTGATTCATCAACAAAGGTTCCCCAAAGGAAATCGCAGGATGAGAAAGTATTGTTTGTGAGAAACAAGGTTCCATTGCTACCACACTCGGAGTCATGTCAAAATCCTGCTTTCCAAACTGCACCATTCTACCAGGAACAGTCTTCTGTTGAAAACATCGGTAGCTCAGGTAAAACGTTTAGTGATTCCACAAATGAAAACCTTCATCGACTGGATGGCGAGATCTGGTTACATCCAGATCACAACCCTCGGTCCACTTTCGAGGATAGTTATCAGGATTTTGAGCTGCCCTTTGGAGATGTGGACTATCGACGTGGGCCCGCAATGCAACAAAGTCAGTTGGGTAGAGATGACTCCCGTCAGTTTCGGAATCCTGATTTCCAAGCCCCGGTGCTAGAAAAGATTCAGTCTGAATTCCTGCCCGATGAATTAAATCGAAACGGTAAATCCAAGCATTTTTGCCCAAAGGATGGAAGTCTTTATACTTCTTCAAGGTGGGGAGGTCCTGCCATGCCCCGTGATACTCCTACTACAGTAACCCCTGAAGATGAGATGTATTTTACAAATCCAGAACACAATCCTCAGGATGAAGATTTGAGACTAGAGATGCAAAGTTCTTTCAGAAATCAAGGAACCGTTGTTAGAAATGTGTGGCAAACTTGGATGTTGCAAACTCACAAAAACCATGAAAGCCTTTCTGGCAGTGCTGAAACCGTGGTGTCTTTCCCTGAAAAAGACCTTTTAAACAGTAAGGATCAGACTGCCAAGAGTCTATCGTGTAGTCACCCTGAATCTGCAAAAGCTGGAGAAGGCTCCGAGAGGCTACCTGCCCAGACCTCTGATTCTTCGCTGAAGGAAGCTGAGGAGCACCCATCTATTCTCTCTCCTTCCAAAGTGATCCTTGATGTGAGTGGTACAGACAGTGCTGTGCACCATCAGCAGAAGTGCATTGACATACTCAATGCATTGAAAGCGGGGGAAGGTCAGACTCCACAGAGAGCAAAAGATGACTTCGCTTACAGCAGCGATGAGGAGGACAAACCCAGCGGCCCTGGGCCTTTTTCTGTACCTGAATGTCAAACAGATGTTGTCTCGAAACAGAAGGCTCTTCAGTATTCATTAGCTAGTACAAATATGACATTTGAATCCATTTCAAATGCAATACAAAAAGCATCTGCCACCCCTAAGCTTAGAGCTGCTGATAACCCACATGTCCTCAGTGCTGTAAAAGGCGCTCTTCAAACACTGAAGGAGTTGAATGTTATTGACTCATCTATTCCTGGGTTAGTAAAATCTTCACCCACGGCAGTGTCGGGCCACAGCAATCAGGGTCAGGGCCCATCTAGTGTTGTTGCTCCTGATTTCGAAAGCTCAGAAAAACCATTGCCAACGACAACAGATTTGAATTTTGATCATCTCGATAAATTATTGAAATACGTGAAGGAAAATGACATTTTGAAAAGAGTGAGGGAGGTGTCAAAAGAAGAGTCAGAGCAAAAGGAGTGCACAGAGAAAAATGCTGCTGCTTTGAGGAATATCAGTGAGGCTTCAACGCAAGATTCGAAGCGAGAGAAATTTGCTGAGCTTGGTTCCCATTATGACAAAGCACGTTCTTCCGTAGACCCTAGTGGAGAGTTTACTGGTGTGTGCCTTGCTCAATCTGAGTGTCGAGATCTGGGAGAGAGATCATTGACCCCACAGAAAAGCCTTACGATATCCAAGGAGAATCTGGGCTCAAGAAAATCATCCCTCCTTGAACAAAACTCACCTTTTGAGATTTTGAAACCATTGTTTTTTTCTTCAGAGACAAATATCAGAGATGATGAACTGAAGGCGTCTGAAGAAAAGCCTCAAGAGGACACAGAGACACCAAAGTATAAGACAGGCAAAGGTCCTATTTTAAAAGACAATGAGGAGAAAGGGAAGTCTCATTCTAGGCAGGCATTGTCCAAAGATCTATTTCCCAGTGAAGGGACAGTTTGTTCTGAGGAGACTGTGGTCAGAAAAGCTTCAGAGTCCAAAATTGACAGAAATACTCGTGTCAGTGCTAACCGTGTGCCTCACAAAGACAACAACACTCATCTGACAGGGAGAGACGATGACAGTGAAGACTGCACAACCAGGTTGGGTTCCCAGAGTAATAGATCCTTATCACGACACTCTCGATCGCAGACCCCTTGCTTTGACGAAAGCTCTAACCTTTCGCGGATTTCGTCCACTAGTGCAAAAATTCAACCATCTACACGATCAAAATCTCCCGTGGATGAAAGACGTTCCCCTTCAAGGTGCATTTCGCATAGGAATCCAAGTCCTTCTGAAAGGTCCAAATCTCCAGGTAGTAAAAGAAGGTTTCATTCAAAGTCTACGGATGATAACATTTCGCCTTCAAGATCCAAATTTCTTGAAAGCGAAGGACGCTTTCCTGTTAGGTCTCTGTCACACAGGGATGGAAGACGCTCTCCTGTGAGGTCTATATCACACAGGGATGATGAAAGACGCTCTCCTGCAAGGACCAGGTCTCCTTGGGTTGCTGCAAGAAGGTCACCACATAGAAGAAGCTGGGATAGCTACTCTAGATCACCGTCTCCCTACAGGCCACGATATTCCAGGTCCAAGTCTCCTCCACTAAGGGGAAAATCTTCTCTGTCACCCGCGAGGAGAAGGAATCGGAGGTCGTCATCCCGTGGCCGTGTGAGGTCACGATCGCGATCACCTACACGCAGAACACGTCATCGAATTTCCAGATCAAGATCTCGTTCAAGCACTCGCAGAGTTGGTTATTCAAATTCTAGACGTAGGTCTCGATCGCTCACTCGCAGAACTCGTTATACGTATTCCAGATCTAGGTCAAGGTCTCCCCCTTACCGCGAGAGAGTTCGCTCGAAATCGCCCTTTAATGCTCAATCAGGGCAAATGCGGTCGTCGACCTCATTCAACAGGACAGCCAGAGTCGACAGTGCTCGTAGATCTCCCCTCTCCATGTTCGGATCTCCCTTGTTAAGTTCGAAAGGCTCTCAGTCGCTCATGTCACGTGAACAGGCTGGGAAGGATGACAAAAATCGGGACAGTGACCCTTATTTTTGGTTCACAGACACAATTTCTTCAGAGAAACGTCACGGTTATGTGCAAAGAGATTCGAAAGCAAACAGTTATGAGGACCCTGTGTTCAGAGTAGATGAGCCATTCAAGGGCAGGAGACCAAGTTCGTTATCCAGGTCAAGGTCAGGATCGCAGGAAAAGGATTGCTTTCCCACCAGGCAAAATATCTCTGTTAGTGTCAGAAATACAGTTGTTCCCGGAGGTTCTAATTTGCCTCTGGAACCTGAGCAAGGAAAACTTTTCATGGGTGATGGAAGAGCAGGAACTTCTGCCTACAGGGATGAGAAAGATGATAGCAAAGTGAAAAGATCCTCCAAAGGTGGAGATCAGGACAGTCAAAACTCTAGAATCTTTATCAAAGGACAGAAAAAATGCTCTTTTGATGATAGAGACAGAGAAGATAAAAGAACAGCAACAGTCCATGACAAACATGGCAGCATGTCAAAAAGGCCCTTCAAAGATAAAAAAAAGGATGGTGGAGACACGAGAATTGTGGTCAGAGCTGATGATATGGGCAATGACAGAACAATGCTCACGATAAAACGTTCTGTTTCGAAAGGCGAAGCAAACAATAGAACACAATGCAGTTCCTTATCTCAAACAGATAGTAACATTCACCACACTGTTCGTGAAACGGATAAAAGGACAAGTGACACAGACAAAGCGGAGCATATGTCACTGCCAACTAAACGAATGTTCAATTCAAACGCTGAGCCGAAAATTGCATTTTTAAGTGTTTCAAAGGACGCTGAAAGGAATGCCATGGGAGAAGAACAAAAGGAAGAGAAAGGACTTAGTGCTAGTGAAGACACTGAGAACGAGGCTGTGACGGAGATCTTGACCAGTGCCCCCATTGATGTACTCTCTCACGCCAGACTAAAGATTCTTAATGAGATCAAGCTTCTCAGCAGCCTAGATGAAGACGCGATTGCCTTGCTAGAAGCAGAGATCGTGCCCTCGGGAAATAGTGACGAGACAAAGGATCAGGCTGAAGATGCCGAAGGCAGCGCTGAGAAAGATTTGGTTGCTGATGAGAGAATAGGAGAGGAAGACTCTGGTTTGCCAGAAGAGAAGAATGCTGCTGGAGATCATTGTGAAGACAAAGTGAAAGAAAAAAATGTATCCCTGGAAACTGCAAAGAAAGAGGAGGATTGTGATAAAGATGACAACGAGAGAAATAAAAGGAAAGTTGAAAGAAAGGATTTTTCAGGGGAGGTTATTGATAGAAGTCATGAAAATGCCTATGAGAGGAAAGGTGGTCCAAAAGGAAAAGAAGAAATTTTGGTGATATCTGACAGTGATGATGACCATCCATTGTACTGGGATGAGAAGAAGAAATCTCGATTTTACAAGAGGAAGTATTGCTCATCAGTAGAAGCAGAGTCTTTAGAAGAAGGAGAAGTAGTGGAGGAAGTCACCAGCACAATAGGTAAGAAGCGAAAGCTTGTTGACAGAGTTGTTGAGGTTTGCACAGTTGAAGAGAAGGAGGGAGAGAATACCCCTTCTCTAGAGCGTAAGGAAGAGGAACAAAAGGGCAAGATAACAGAAATAAAAAGTTCACAAAAGAGCAGCCAACATGGTCTCAGAAAAAATGTTCTGAATCGACTGCAAAGTTTGAAGGACTCTAGCCTACTGCACTCTCCTCATGACCTGTCATCTGTGAGTGACGGGGAGATTAGTTCAGAGCGAGAGATGGCTGTAAGTCCCCCATCTGCTCCTTGCTATGGGAAATGGTCACCTATCAGTGACACAGAAGATCCTGACTCCTCTTCAAAAAGCACTGAAACCAATCAGCCGAACGACAGGAGAAAGAACTTTGTGTTACCAAATGAAGAGAAGATAATAATTGGTATAAAGAATTCTCCAGAGGATTCTCTGAAAGGAGCAGATGACAGTGGGGTGGACACTCGGGTCATCAGAATGGACTATAGTTCTGAAAATGACTGCATCTTTGTTGGAGAAGAAAGATTTCAGGATTCAATTACTTTTAGGAACAGAAAGAGAACAAACTGTGATGTGCACTCTCTTGACGTCTACAATTTAACAACCGAAGAAGAAGACAACCAAACTTGTACGGAAGAAGTTCAAATCCGAAAAAGAGCAGAAGAAAAGTTAGACAGTAGGGGAAAGAAAATGGACTTTGCAACTTCACCAGTCTTTGAGAGCGAACGTGATAAAGGGGCCGCTGAAAGGTCTCTCAAAACAAGCAGAGGGGCCAAAACTATAAATGAGAAACGAGAATCTTTGAGAAAATTACCAAGAGATAGAGAAGAAACAAAACCATACAGTGAAAGAGGTAGAGACACTAGGAGGGATGCTGACGAGATAGCTAGGCGTTACCGGAATAGATCCCCTGTTCACAGGACAGCTGATCCATTTTCTAGTAGCGAGAACAGGGGTTTGGCAGAGAGAAGTTACTTGTCATCAAGAAGTAGGAAAGGAGATTCCTATGAGAGGGAACATCGAGACAGATCCCTTTTTCATAGGACAGAGCTTACTGAAAGAGCTAAACACTTGGAGAGAAGCTCTAGAAGTGGGTGCAGTAGGAGACACAAGGATCCTCACTCCCCTTCAAGAACTCACGGGCACTACCCCAAAAGTTGTGAAAGTTACCAGAGCTCACGGTCAAGCAGACACCCAAGGCCCAGTTCACCCTCAACCTCCGGTAGTCGGGATAGCCGCGGCTCTTCGCCTCATAGACATAATCCGGCTAGTTCTCCATCAGTCAGGACTGGCTTGCAGGACTCTTTTTGGAGACAAAAGAGTTCTAATTCACCTTCTGGTAAAGATAAAGATTCAAATCATACTAATTCAGGAGAAAGCGAGAAGACTGGTAGTCAAAATGACCAGAGGTTGAAGAGTCTGACTGCCTTCAATTCTGTCTCTGAAACAGAGAGGCAGGAGAGGCGTCAACTTGAAGGAGCTGGGGAATATTCCAAAGGTGCCTCTTCATCTGCAAAAATTTACAACGATGTCCAAGGCCAGAGCAGTCGTGATGAAGCCCCTGGAGAGGATGTCACCAGAGCCACCGATCACAAGCAGAAAGTTCAGGGAGTGTCTGAATCTTCACCAAGCACCAAGAAAACAGGTCAAATGTGGTCACAGCTGTTGACTTCAATTCCGAAAAGAGTGCAAAGTCACACCAACCGTGGTGAAAGCTCGGTGGATAGTATCACTAATGCCTCTCATTTTATTTGGCCGTCATGCGGCCGGTTGCAGAGCTCCTTTCCTTCAGCCTCAGGACCACCGGTCCATGACAGAGAAAGCCCTTCGAAAGCTCATTACCTTGACTTTGACGATGCTGACCTGTTGGAAACTGGGAATTCAGGCACCGGAAAAGTAAGCATGTTTGAAAAAGTGTTGAAAGAGCATAGACGGGACCGGAAACAGACCATGAAAACTGAGGATGTAACTGTCCACAATTTTTTGGTGTCGCTGTTGGGTGTGAATTGTGAAATCTTCTCCCACCTCCTGGGCTGGCCCCTGGACACCGAGCTGGGCAGCCGTGCCGTCTCCGCCAGCACCATGAACCAGCTGGTGGCTCTGACAACAGAATGTGCCTTTACTGCTCTCAAACTTGACCTGAGTTTCATCGACCCAAGCTTCGGCCTAGACGATGTCTGCTTTGGGAACCCGGCCAAGTTGAAAATGCTGAGGGAATTCTCAGACCGACAAATTGTGACTGAAGTACAGATTCTTGAGCACTGTCAAGAAAATTTTGATATTGAGGTGGGTGTAAATGAGGGTCGACGTTCCCGTGAATTCAAACTAGAGTCCCTGCAGCTTGTTGTGACAGCCCTTAATGATTTGCGCAGATATTCTGACTTTGGTGAGCCACATTGTCGCGTGCCTGGGGCTCTACTGCTGAAATCAGAACGGCGGTCGTGGTTCTCAGTTGGCAACTGCTTCCTCATCATGCTCTTGCCGATGTCCCAAGAACTTTTCAGTCGCCTCCTCAGTTTGAAGCATTCCATAGAGAAGCTTGGGCCTGAGAATACCTCTGGTGAGACTGAAGAGATGAGGACCAAGCTAATCTCTGAGGTAAGATTATTAGGAGACTACGTTGACGGTTATTTACTGTATCAAAGGACCTTCTTTTTCTTGATTTTTAGTGAAATGACTAACCTTTTGTATTTTTTGCGATTCTTTACTACAGATGTACTTTGTCTCATGTTTTAAAACAATTATAGAAATTGATTCCTTTTATGTTCTGTAATTATTATTTTTTAGAACTTTTTGCTCTCTATTTGATTGTATTTTTAATTTTTAAGAGTATAATTCTAGTGGCTAAACTAAAATGTGATGATAATGAATGATGAAAGTAATAAAAAAAAACTAAAAGTCATGTTTGACATAGTTTTCTGCTGACTGATGTATCTGTCTATGAGATGTATAAACACCTCCAGTACCCGAGAGTTCGAGGTGCTCAGCAGGGTGTGATCTGTACACTTTCTATAGCAAACTCAGTCTGTGGTTGCTGGGGATACTCCTGTGTGCTCTTCTCCCACCTCTTTTTGTTACTATTACTTTTGTCCAAAAGTATTACCTAAGATCTGAAACATTTCTGTTATTTTGTTGACCAACCATAAATTTCGTGGGTTGTTGGAGGGCACCACTGGTAGGTCCTACTTCTTTTCTTTCCCTTTATTTTTGTCTGTAAGTCTTGCTTTTTCCCTGCACTATGGGACCATAATTGTGTCAATATGCTTCTTTGCTCCAAATAAATTTCCATTCACTAGAGCAGCTACATTCTGTGGGTGGTTGGCGGGTGCTCTGGTGTGGTTTGCTCCTTCTTTCCTATCGAACATCTGTTGTCCTTATCTCTCCTCCTCCTTTTTTGTGTATGTTAGTAGTTACTCTCTTGTAACACATCTATTCTTCGGCACTTATATGACCTTATTGTGTTGCAAGTGCCCTAAAATTTTTAACAAAAAACAAAAAAAAAAGCCACATTCTAGTTTTTTATTTCCATTTTGAAAACATTTTTTTATTGTATGCTAGTTGGTTAGTTCAGTTTTCCCAAGGAATAACCATTCAGTAGCTGGTGGATGCAGGGCGCCTCTGACTGGTAGGCCCTTCTTTTTTACGTTCCCGTCTGTTGTACTGGTCAGTAAATAGAGTTGCTCTTTTCCCGAGCACCAAATAACCATTATTGTGTGGATGTGCTTCTCTTTACTCAGACTCACACACTCATAACTGTGGCTGATCTACAACAGGGAACTGCTACTTTTTCTTTCCTAATCCTTACTATTGTCATTTTCCTCTACTTCTTTTGTATGTTTGTCACTCCCTTGTGACCTGCTATTTTGGGGTGCCTTGATGATAGTCGAAGCAGACCTTGTGCTGTTGAAGCTAGAGAGGTGAGCAGTCTAAGTCTGATTCCCTGTAAAGACTTCTCTGTTGACACCCACCCCTTGGCACTCATATGACCTTATGCAGTTGCGAGTGTCGTAAAACCCTCTACTATAAAAAAAATAAAATATTACTCAGACTCAATTCTGGATCGGTAACAACATTACTCAATGGGTGGTTGGCGGGTGCTCTGATGTGGTTTGCTCCTTCTTTCGTATCAAACATCTGTCGTCCTTATCTCTCCTCCTTCCTTTGTTGTGTTTGTTACTCCCTTGTAACACCTCTAATCTTCTGAACTTATGTGACTTTATTATTGTGTTGCAAGTGCCGTAAAACTTTTACTAAAACAAACAAAACAACATTACTCAGCTCAAACTGTCCTCTCATCACCACGTGTACTGAAAAAGTTTTTGTGATTTTTTTTTGTCAGCGAGCTAGACTCTTGAAGACCAATACTGGTAGTCAGAATGTTGGAAGAGAAAGGAAGCTGAGGGATGAGCTGGCCTGCTTCAGGGAGTGCAGGAGGTATCTACGCCATGTCATCGGGAACGCAGCCGTAGAGAACATGACCGTGTTCAACACTTACTTGGACCGGATTGCTTGGCATATACAGCTCATGCAAATGGATTTATGATGTTACAGGTGATACTGATACTGTGTGAGCGTTGCTTGAATCTTGTCTTTAATCATCCCCCCCCCCCCTTTTCTTGCTGTTGTAGGGGTTTTTTTTGGGGGGAGGTGGGTTTTTTGGGGGGAGGGGATGGGTTGTTTTGTTTTTTTAATATTTTTTTATGGGGGGGGAGGGGGGGGGTTACTGCTGAGGTTTAATGCACCACAAAACAATGTATTTGGTAAGGAGGAGGAGAACTAGGTTCATGATGAGGAAACCAGGGAGAGAGGAAATGTTTTCAAGGAAGGGTGAGAAGATTTGGCAAGGACCGTTGTTTGATTCCTCAAATTTAGCTTTGTGGACATGTATGTAAACAATAACACTACGTGAGTTTTAAATTAAATTAGTTGAATTATTTACATATATGTATATATTGTATATATATACAGTTGAAATTGTCCAAGATGGCCACCTATTGGTGAGGAGAAAAGAGTTTGTGTCAGACAGGTGGATGTCATTATAAATATAGAAAAAAAAAACGCAAGTGGAGAAGTGGGAAGTGGCTGTTTGTACAGGTGATTGTCTTAAACAGGTGGTTCCAAATGTTATAATTTTTTAAATCACTATTTTTTTTTTTTAATGTCTTTAACTTTAGACCCTTTGAGATAAGGAAGGAGACTCATCAATGATCAAATGTAACGTGCAGTCTCTCTATAAAGACGTCGTCGGGACCTGAAAAAAATGTCTTTATAGAGAGTTGTCGTTATAGAGAGGCAACCAAAAATATTACTAATGATATAATATAAGGAAAAAGTGGGGACCTGGGCACCATGTCGCTTTATAAAGAATGTCGTTATATCAAAGGTCGTTATAGTTATAGAGAGGCTGCACTGTATATGAAGGCAATCGCGGCAAAGGACCAGAATTATAGAGTTTGATAAAAACACCGGATGAGTATCCTGTCTGCAAAAACAATTTACTAAGTTGTAAGTGTACCCAAAAGGGTATAAGCAGCAGATAAGGAAGAAAAATAATTTAAAAAATCAACCCCCCAAAAAACAAACAAAACAAGTAAGACGTAGCACCTGAATTTGAACTAAGAGCTGCACATTAAATCAGTAATAGTTGTTTAGTGCCATGGAATGTGTTTATAGAATCCGAAAAGCAGTGGGGACCCACATTGATGCCATTTATGTGTACATATAATATTATAAAAGTAGGAAATTTTTTTAAACCTTTGTTAATGTTAGCTTATTGACCTCTGACATGAGCCTTAATCATCAAATTACTGGAGACTTAAATCATCAGCCTTCTTGGGTTGTTGGAGGGTGCAACTGGTATGTTCCTCTTCTTTTACAATTCTTATGTCCATCTTTCTCGCTTTTTCTCAGTCTGTTATTGTGTCGATGGGTTTCTCTTTATTCACTCACTTTCAACATCAGCCTTCGTTACCCCAAAGCAGTATGAGCCACTACTAAGATCTCCTTCGATGTCTCTTTCTTTGGTCTTTCTCTTCATTTCTGCCCCTGTCAGTCTAAACACTTAAACCAATGTTTCTACAAACTTTTCTCAATGGGCAGAACAAGTAATAGTATCGGCAGAATAGTGAGAACTTGTCAGAAATTCAGAGGCCAAAATGCTTTCTGCCTTCACTCATGCTACTTTACACATTGATTTTACAAGCTTTTTATTGTTTTTGAAATCATGTTATTATAGTATGGCAAGCACTTAGTGACTTACCTACCTCATAATTACAAAGTTCTATCTGACAATGACTTTTTTGGGCGTTTTGAGTTACTAAGACCATGAGATCACAAACCAAATGCTCTGTCTGCTCTACCAAAATTGCAAGATTATTCAGAGGCGGGCGTTATCAAGATATTCAGAGAATTGCATTCGAAAAAGCTTGAACATAATGTGAAGCTCAAAATCTTTGACGTCAAATTTCTCAAAACTAAGCACTAAGCTGATAGAACTTCGTAATTCTGAGGTACCGACTTACGTCTCAAAAATGGTTTTCATCGATTGGGCTTACACATTATAATATTGTGCTCAAATAGACCGACTAATGAGACAAATCTGGAAGGTTTTCATTCTTATATGATATGCTGATATAATTTCTGTTTGTTGTTCTCTCTTTCGGATAGCACATGTTTATCATATTATTTTCTTTTTTGTCTTTTTCAACAAGTTGTGAATTATATGTTGGAGGTTAGGAATACTAAGAAACATTGGCAAAAGATGTTTGATAAGATTCCGTCACTGTTAATGTTAATTTTTAAACATTTGTTCTTCAATAAGCGTCTATAATTCTGTTTTTACTGAGCATTTAGACCAAAGACCGGCATCCGTCCAAATCCTTCTGTCACAAGGACAGACCAAATTTTCGTTTTCGGACCAAAGTCCAAAGCCTCGTGTACTACCCCTGAGCAGGGAAGTTCACGGGAGTCTGTCCAGTTGGCCTTATGGCAACAAAAAAATTAGTGAGGGAAGTTCAGTCAGGCTATTTTTCTCCGACCCATTTTTTGTTGAAATGGTAGACTCTGATACCATATCTATACTCCTGGTCAAATTTTGATGGGAAATCGTACCAAATATGATTGAATTTGACTTAAATCATCAATTCGCGACCAAAAAAAAAACTAGGTTTGTAACTTCGGTTTGACGCAAGCAAATAAGGCATTCCGATGAATGAACATGAGGTGTGGAATAAATTTGATGACCCTAATCTGCTACATTCTATTAAACGGATGCTTGGATGCGGATCTTTGAGCTGAATGACTGAATGCCCTTTTTGGCCCTCTTTTACTGAAGACACAGGCACATAATATGTATTGTTGTCAGCTCTGTTGGTTGTTACTTATCACATCAAGGATTTTAACGCATGGACATATCTTCTTTTTTTTTTTTTTTTAAAGTAAGCAATAATATTCATTTGACTGGAAAAATGGTAATGTGTAAGTTTTTATATTATAAAATGCATATTGTTTGTCATGTCACCTTCTTTTTTATCCAACATATGGTATTTTGCTCAGTTGATGATGTAATTAGTTGTTACATGTCGATATTTCTTAAAGAATTCTTTGCATATATATTTCTGCTTAAATCTTATTAATACTTGTATGTTCCATTTTTCTATTCAAGAATTGTGAGTGAACAAGCCTCAGCAGACACATTGTGATATAGGAAGGCAAAATAATCAAAGTTGTCACTTGTGTTCATTCCTTCATTTCGACTGCTCAGTGTAAGTTATAAGACTGCCGTAAACCATTTAAAAAAATAACAAATGACTGAGTCTTACACCGAGCAGTCGACTTGTATTTGTCATATAATGCGTTTAGAATTGTAAGAATCACTGGTTCTTCCCTGGTTGTGTAGACAATCGGGGATTTTGTCTTTTTTTTTTTACCTGGACATATTTTACAATTCAGTATCCGGTAAGAAATATGCCTTTATAATGATAAAGTGGATACTACAAAGTAATTCATTTAACTGTTTTCCTGTGCGTTGTAAATTTTTTCAGCATGAGGCTTGAATAAGGCAATAAGCCCTACACTGAGTAGAGCCACTAGCTTCTCTTCTAGCCAGTGTCAATCTTTCTCTTATACTTGTCAAACGTAGAATTCCTCCACTAAGATTGATTGAGGCGGAGTATCAGTCTCAACCTGTCCCATGTAATAGACCCATCATATCTCTTTCCCTGCTGTAAATGATCGTTATTGTGTCAATGTACTTTTAAAAATTTCAAACGAAACAAACAAACCAGAAAGCGGGGTCTCTTGCCGTCCATCCCTTCTTCACCCTATGGAAACCTCTGAAGAAGCATTCCTTTTTTTTTTTTTTTACTTTTTAACTTCCTCTTTGTTTGTTTGTGTTGTTTTTTTTTAGAAAAAGAAGCTCATCGACACAATAATGGTCATTAACTTTCATTTAGTGATGGGGAAAAAGTGAGTAAAACAGGCAGACCTAACAGAGGAGAAAGAAAGAAGTAGGACCTACCAGTGGCGCCCTCCAACCACCCGCTTTCTACTTTGTAGACTCTCAAATGATACAAATCTTGCTATAGAGGGAATGCACTTTAGTACCATTTTTTTGTCCAGCCTTTCTTGCCTTGCCCAACATCTGTTTTGTTACAGCCACAACCAAGCTCTCAATGGAATGAACAAATCAGTGGAGTATTTGTGTTCACTTTTTTTCTCCTTTACACAATCGTTGCTCCATAGTATTAATGTAATGTAATGATAACGGTGTACTTTTTATGCTTTATTCCCCCCCCCCCCCACAATGCCAAATCCTGAAATGTACATGTACCCCAAACTTAAGACTTTTTAAAATAAAGAGCTTTGATTGAAATGGTGCCAGTTATCTGTGTCTGTTACCAAGACCAACAGATTGCCATGTATTAATACTGATTCATTCATGTTCTAATTTCCATGATATTGAAAGAGTATTGTGTTCAAAATTTGTATACTGATAATTTATGTATGCAAAAATGTTAATGAAAATCATTAAATAAAGCTGTAGCCTGCTACATTTCGTGTTAACATTCATATAAAGATATTTTTCTAAACCTGTCATTTTTATTCTACTGGCAATGGTTGGTCCTGCATCTTTCCTGTTACAGTACAGCAACCTTAAGGATCCAATTTTTCAATCAAATTATTGTACCCCCTATTAGTTGCGTATTTTCAGAAATGTGAGCACATTTTTTCCACGCTTCTTTTATTTACTTTCTGAAAGGAATTGTGGGCTGCCTCATAGTGAATGAGCTCTTTTACCTCCTACGCAGATCACCTGTAAAAATATTGTTCATCTGTGGAGTAGGTTCTTCCTTTGTGTCTTTAAAAGGATCCTTTCAAATGGGGTTGGTAGAACTGAAGGGGGCCTGTTAAGTTATTACCCTTTGTTTTGTTTTCTGCCATGGAAATGGTCTGTATCTATCTCATAGAGTCATAGACCCTTTACTTACCTGGCAAAAAACAAAACAAAATAGATTTAATCGAGACCTCTCTGCGAAGCTATTTTTAAATTGCTTTTTCACTGAATATTTTGCTGGGTAATGTTTGAGTACTACAATTCTCATCCTCAACCCAACAGACATCCAAAGTCTTAGAATTACAGAAATGGTAACATGTGATGCATGAGGCCCATTACTAGATCAACTACTACATGCACTGATGGAGTAAAATCAATAAAATTAACACTGGTAAAAACTGACCATTTTATTGAAACAGAAAGTGTGTGTAGTATAGCTAGTTCACAAACTGCAGCAAATATTGTTCTTCAGAGATCAAAGTCAGTATCTCAAATACCGGTACTGTGCATTATCAGTGTCTTCGAAGACAAAATATTGCAATTGTTACTTTTGATACCATGAGTTCACTAACTAGAAGACTCATAAGGATACATTCTCTTTACCACAATATTGCCTATCGGTATTTAGTGTGCTCATTCACACTTCTAAAGGAAACATACTCAAATCTAGATCCAAACCTTCCTCTTTGAGCAAAATAGCCTAAAATAGAGAAATAGAAACTTAAATGAATACAGGAGAGTCTGCTTAAACTGAAATCTGATGGACCACTGGTTTTTCTTCGGTTTTGCCGTGTTTTCAGTTTACAGGCATTGCTCAAATACCAAAGGAAAACATTGGGGATTCTATTTTCTTTTTGGTTTACCACTGTTTTCAGATTAACTGTGTTCAGCTTAAGCAGACTCAACTATATTTCCAAATTTGTAAAAAAAAAAAAAAAAAATAATCAGACTTGTAAAAGCAGTGCCACACCAGCCAAGACCCATTTGGAGGGGTCGGCCTTAGTCTTGAGTCGGAAGGTCCACACAAAGGTCGGCCCTCGCGACTTGGTCTTGTAGACCGGACACTCGTACACCACACGCTGATCCATCCGATCCACGGGGATAGCCTTCAGGAAGATCACGGGCATGCGGGGGGTCAGCTCTTTCAAAATGGACTCTCCGATGAAGCCGGTCTGATGATCCCAACGAGCCCCTTCCATGTAGAGGCCGTAAACGTAGGCCCCCTCTCTCGGGGGCGCCGTCATCTCTTCCTTGTTCTTTTTGGTCACGTCGCACTGTAAGCACATACGGTCCAGAGGCCATTCGTTCTGGGGATTACACATTTATAATTGGTCGCTTTTAACCACAAGGGGGCTATCCCTAAAAATGCTGTTTTGAGAAAATCAAAGGTAAAGTGTTTGCCCCTTGTTCAGTTTCTGTAAAAGACAAGGAGAGTTTTCTCTGTAAAACCAAACAAGTATACACATCCATGAAACCAAACTTCTCCTAGAGGTAGGGCAATGCCCACTTTTGGTGTCGGTCAAGATTTCTGGAAACCCTTGAAATCTGGGTTGGCCCGCTTGTCCTTAAAAGCGACCAATTTGGAAAAGGATTTGTTACTTTGTCAAGCAGAGTAAAATCCTGATGACATTAAAACGTCACAACACCAGGGAATTTCTTTGTCTTTAGGTTAGGGGGCTCAATACTTGCGGGACAACATTTTTAACTGAAGACAAACTGAAACAACTTTTGTTACAGGCAGTATGTATGAGACAAAAGATTCATGTTCAACTGTTGACACACTCGATTACGTAAGCCGCTGCCATGGAAACGATGGCCATCTTGAAAATTTGATAGAAACTTTTTTCTTCACCATTTCTATAGTTTGTAAAATTCAGTAACTTTCAAAATGTCATAAATAGGTGCTTGCAGCTGGCTATTTTGATTTTTGATTCTATTACTTAGAAAGTATTCAAAATTGTTCTCAAAGTTGGGGATATGGAATTTGATCTTTAAAAAATATTTTTGGCATGAAAAAAAATATTGTAAAAAGAATTCTAAAGCAAAATGTGAAAAACTAACCAGCCCACTACAAGTACAAACGATATTCTCTAACTACATGCCAAATTTCAGGTCTATTTGTTGGAAAATATTAAAAAACTTGTGGAGAAAAAAACCCAGCATATGTAAGCAAAAAGTGGTGAAAAAATGTGTTTTGAGAAAAACAAGGTTAAACATTAAAAATGTTAGTACACAACGTAGAACCCCAAAAAATTGAATTCTGATTAAAATTAATCACTCGGTGACTAGCGTCAATAATCTAGACTGAATGGAATGAGGGATTGGAAAATACCAAAAGTAAAAAGTGCTCAGAGAAAGTGAAAATCAGTCCCCGACCTGTGACCCCCGCCTTAAAGGACGTTGCAATGCATTGAATAATAAAGAGATGGGAAAAACCCCTGAGGATCTGAAATCTTTTCGTGGTACAGTGGAATCCTGTTATAACGAGAGGGAGGGGACCAAAGCAAAATGTCCGTTATAGCAGGATTCTCGCTATAAGGGATCCAGTAATAAATTCAAGGGAAACTGTAAAGTAGGCCTAATCTATGAGTTTGGTGTTCTGTTTATTTCCTTTTGCTATCTCCCCTGATGATGATTTTGTTTCAACATGACCTCTGGGTCTTACTTGATCAAAAATCGAATCGGGTTTCTTTCTCTAGCGCTAGATCTAGTGATGTGGACTGACAGCTCGGCGTTGGCGATCAGAAAGAAAGGGCTCTTGGTTAACTCGCCCGTTGTGTTTTCCCCCACCCCACCCCACTCTGTGATGCATTCTGTCTGCTTGCGCACGTCATACATTCGCTCCATCCATCACATTGCTGTGACCCCTCCATCCCGCATCGGAGAAGTGAGAGGCATGGTAGGCCTTGATAATCTAAGCTAGGCTTACGCTGGCCTGTCATGCGATGCGTTCTGCTTGTCTGCGCATGCCACAACCTCCCTACTCAGTCGCTCCGGCCTTCATTGTTGACGCACATGGGCTCTCTCATTCTTTGTTTCACAAGATCACCAACAAGTTTCTCAAATGGCGAGGTTTTGCAAAGTATAATTGGCCTATGCACTGTGCACAGCAGCAGCAATATTCCGCTATAACCAACACGCAAGTGTGTCTGATAGCGCTATAGCAGTATTTTATTTACAAAGGTAAAGAGGAGAAAAAAACGGGGTTTTAGAATAGTGTCTTTATAACAGACTTCTCGTTTTTTCCGGACTCGTTATAAGTGGACTCCACTGTACTGGTAACAGAAATTTTATTTTAACAGTTTCTTTCCTAATAAAAAATCTATCATTCTTATATCTTTCCTTTTTTGTGTCTATTACTCTCTTGTAAGACCTCTGACCTTCAGCACTAATATGACCATATGTAGTCAAATTTGAAGTTGGAGGGGGAATTCCCAAGGATACAGCTGTACAAAAAGAAAAGGAAGAAATTTTCTAACTTCCCCGTAGTCACAAAAAAACCCAGCAAAAAATGTACAAAATACACAGGCCTACTCGAGAAAGGTCACATCAGTTAGTTTCAGGATGAACAAGAAAAAGTGGAAATCGGGGAGCTGTATAGTTTTAAATTATTTATTATTTTTCTTATTACCGTACTCAAAACCCTCCAAGCCCCCATACTTTTTCAAAATCTTTGTTTCTTTTGACATTTCATATTTGAGGTGGTTGTTTTGTTTTTTTAGTAAGAGTTTTAGTTTTACAGCATTTGCAACACAATAAGGAGAAAGGTGACAAGAGAGTAAAAAGAGGAGAGATAAGAAAGACAGACGTTTGATAGGAAAGAAGGAGCAAACAACAAAAGAGCACCCACCAACACAATTTGAGGTGCTTAGGAAAAACAAGAATTAACTTGAACATTCGTAAAGGAGGGAGCAGTCCTGTGAGGGTAGTTGTAGTTACCTTTTTTTTTTCCTGGTGAATGTTTTACAGTGCTCGCAACAGCATAAGGTCCTATGAGCGCGTGGGACACATTAAACATTTTCAGTTGGTAGGAAATTTTGAATTTTGCACATAGGGCGGCCAAAGCCTACTCTTTTCGATTGGAGACCACCAAGGATCTTTAACATGCGCAACTTGCACATGGGCCCTCCGAGATTTTTTGCCCTTGCCCGAGAAGGCTAGAGGTAGATCTTTCCTTCCATAAGATTGGGGGTGTGGCTGAAAGACAGCAGTAAGAAAGAACCAAGGAGTAGCGGTAGAAAGGCGGCAGAAAGAGTCTGGAGCCCAAAGGAGGGGGGGGGGAGTGAGGGGGTGGGGGCAGAAAGTGGAGATGGAAGCAGACGACAGAACATTGTTAGAGAGCACAAAAGGGTGTGAAAGGAGAACATTTTAGAGAAGAAAATTTTCCCGTCGCTATCCGGATTCGAACCCGGGACTTATTGAATGAGAGGCGAACACCTTAACCTCTACTCTAGACCACGAGCCCCCCCCCCCCCCCCCTTGTAGTTACCTTCCTGGACATCTGCTGCATGATGGCAGTGAGGAAGCTCTGTGGGTTGAAGAATCCCCCGAGCCAGACACAGGTGGGCAAGTTGAAGTCTGTGATCCACGAGTCCAGCTCTTTTGCTCTTGCCAGCATGTCTGCATACCTGGTGAGGGGAAATGGTGTGTTTAGTTTGAGTAAGTTTTATGGCACTTGCAACACAATCAGGACATAATATTCAGTTAATGTTGAAAAGGTGTTATGTTCAAGAGAGTAACATGCAAAGAAAAGAAGGAGGAGAGAAAAGGACGATAATAGTCTAGATCTCTGATTGACAGGTAAGAAGAAGCAAGCTACAACAGGGCGACCACCAACCACCCAAGGAAAAAGGGGTGGTCGAGCTTTGAAGAATAGTTGATGGTAAGGAAACTCGACTTCATCCACATTTCGCCATAAACTGATTAGGACAATAGTATTAGCTTCTAAAAGAAGCAGAGGGGGGCAAACCACATCTGAACTTCCTCCAGGCAAACTTCTTCCAATTCCAAGAGATAAAAAAGGGTGCGATACCATTAAAATATATGTGAAGACTAAGACTGAGAGCATAATCAAGATCTAGTATTTTGCAGAACTTTATGGATCATTAGAAACATACCAATACCAGACAGAGGGACAACCAACTATTGAACAAGACCCAACAGCCTGAAGTAGCCTTTGTTTCCAATTCTTTAAAATTTGTTTAAACATACAGTAGAGTCCACTAAAATCATCTTCAGTAACTTCAATTAGAGCTGCAAGATAAAAATGCATTATGTTTTGTCTTTGACATTGTCAACTTGCTTAATCTGCTGTTGAGTAATACAGAACACTAACAGACAAAAGAGTTGATGAAGTAGTAAGAAAGCCTAATCATGCTAGTCACGGAAAAGACACATCTCTAACCATTGAGCTAGTAAAAACAAGGACGGGTAAGCCCTTTTCTCCCAGCGCTCTGGTACATGGTTAAGGAACAATGCGTTGCCCAGGTCTTCCATTTCAGATGTGATCGTCAGCTCACCCTGAAAACAAAGTTGTAGACAACGAGTTCAGAAGTTTTACCGTAAAATGAGTTGTCAGGAACAATGTGTACAGAAAAATATAATTCCTTGAAGAAAGTTCTTTTTATGCAAATAATGCTGATCAAACACTATAAATTTGAAATGTGAGGCAGCGTGGTGGAATCAGGCTCTTGTCAAAATAATCAAAGTGAAGAAACTTCCATTTTTCTGCAGGTTTGTGAATTTTTATCAAATTTTTGTTTTTTGGCTCAACACCTTTCATGCCCATGACAGAACTCATTTCTGTGTGATTTTTTCTGAAAAAAGTTGATTAAAGGCACAAAAAATGTAAATTTTCAGTTACCACGGACTCTTAATCTAAGAAAATAACTAATCTTTGGGGGCCATTTTCTCACTAATTTTACCTCTGAAAACAGGTGACCCCCACCTCCTTTATTTGCAAATATCTCTACTTGTATTCAAGATAAATGGATATTTTTTTCATCCAAATAAAGACAAGTGAACAAGCTTTAAGATGATACCAATAACTCTACAGGCTCAAAAATCGACGAGCCTGATTCCACCACGCTGCCTCACATATATTATTATATCTCTGACATGAAGACGAGTTGTATTGCCAATATCATCTTACAGAAGCATTTTGTCTTCAAAAAGAGCAACACACCCAACAATATTTCAAATACATACAATGTATATTATGAGAAACATTGTGCAAACAATCAAGTGGTAAGCGACTTATTTTCCATCTTTTTTTTTTATCACAGTAGTTTTAAAATCCAGTAGAACACATAATCAGTCATAAAGAAGGTGGAGCACGTTTTTACCCCCCCCCCCCCCCCCCAAGACACAACTGAGAAGAACATTCCAAAAGACGCAAAGAACATAATTGTGTAAATCAATTTACATTTGAGCATAGACATCCTACATGTCCCTACACCCCATTAGAGCCCAGGGCTACATCTCCTACTTCTGGGGTGAGGTGGTAGTAGAATGAAAAATTTTGACTGACAGTACAACATATATATATTATATATATATATATATATATATATATATATATATATATGTATATGTATATGTATATATATATATTTATATATATATATATATATACATATATATAAATATATATACTAGAAGTAACAAAGATGGGGTCCTTACCTTCAGACCCAGGTCAAGCTCTTTCAGAGAAATGCGAATCTCCTGTGTGAGAAAGTTCATACGTTCACACTCCTGGAAGGCCACCACCACGTACGGTGTGCGGGCATCTGGAGCCACTTTGGACATGATTTCTTCCATATTGAATGGGTCTGGCAGTCTTTCTGTCAAATCATCCAGGATTTCTTTCACCTATTCAAGGACAAGTGTTGAGAGTAGGGTAAACGTTCTACGGTACTTCTGATGAAAGGAAATCTTTCAGTGCAGCAACTCCAAAACCAGCTATATGTCCCTGAACATAAATACTGATGAGTGCACACTGCCAATCCAATTAATTTGATTCGATTCAGTAAGGGCCAGTCAGAATTTCCCTCATGGATGTGGCAAAAGCAGCAACTTGGTGGCTGGCAGGTTGCTCAGCTTTGGACCTGATCTATTAGGAGCATTTCTAGTCAAAATTTTGAAAATTCACACCTAGTTAGAGCATACAAATTGGATCATAATTTACTATCCATTTGTCATTTACAACTTAAAAAACCCACCAAAAAATTAGATAGTTTGCGGGTTAGCCTGCCTTATGATAAGGGCAACGAGATGGTTCTTCTTACCTTCTCCTCTCTCGACACAGACTCCCCTGCCTCCCCTGAGGCGTCTCTGGGCTGCATCTCAAACACAGTCCGCAACAGATTGTCCGAGCGCTTGCTCAGGAACTCAATCTCGGCATTGGGGTGGAGGCCGTACAGGTACGGGGATTCCGTGGGCAGCTCGTCATCAATATAGGCATGGTAGGCATCATAGTCGATGTTGGGAGGCACGGGGAAGCCAGGGGCCAGTAAGAGCTCTCCGTCAATCTAAACAAATTTTTTTAAGAAGCTGTGTAAAGACTAAAAACATCGCTGGAGTCAGAGGAAAATTCTGTGACTCAATAACAGTGATGGAGAGATGGGAAAATTCAAGATGTCAGAGAGAAATGCCAAGAGGACAGGACAGAAAAAAGGGCGGCTGCCTTCTGGGAGGCATTTTCTAATCCATCATCCAGGAAACAAAAATGACAACTTCGTCATCATCATAACATAAAGTCCCAAGTAATTTTTTTGCTGTTTTGTGAAAATTTTAAAAGCAAAGCTCATCTAAGTCAGTCTTATGAAGTTATAACCTGAGCAAAAGTAGAAATTTCTCAATTACTGGATTTTCAGTACGGTACATGAAACAAAGACCTGCTATTGAAGATTCTATGCAAAGCAAGTACTGTATCAGGAATTTTTCACCCTACCAATGATTAAAAACCTGAAAAAAGTGACTTGGGCAACTGTGGTATGATTGTAACAATTTGCGTTAATGAGAAGCATTCAACATTCAACACCAGAATTGTTGGACATAGTCCTGAAAAAAAGCAAGATGATGGCAAAAATAAACTAGATGGACAGGAATGAAGTTGAGCCTACCTATAGTCTTCCTACATCACGAATAAGACAGTAGCAAGAAGGAAATATACTGGAAGAACCAAGAAAATGTTAAAATTTCACAGTAAATGTAGAACAATATTGAAATTTTTTTTTATACATTCAGATATAATATATTTATTTATATATATATATATATATTTCTTCATGCTCTTTATAAACCAACCATATCCTGATTCATGTAGACTTCCAGGTATGTTCTGCAAAGTTTGCGGTCCCAGTCATCAGTGATGTGGCCCCCGTACATGATCTCTCCAAACAGATATCGCAGATCCTCCCAAGGAACCTAGGACAACACAGCACAACATTTCTACTTTTGATAGGCTAAGACGTAATGAGGTCAGATGAGACATGACAATAAGGGACTGTTTATTTATTTATACTTTTTTTAACGTACCAGAGTTTTTATGCCCCCATCAACACAATTTAGATTGCTGATAAAAAAGGACAGCTTTGACCCTGCCTGTCAGGGCTAACCGGGATTCCTCAGAAAGAGTCAGATTATACTCAATAAAAATCCTTCCCATCCGTGAATTGAATGCAGGTCTTCTGCTTGTGATGGCACAGAGTAGAGCCTAACCTAGATTGTTGATCTGAGAATAAGAAATTTTCAAAGCTTATGGGCAGGAACAAAGAGATACAAAACCATAAACATAGAACTCAGCACAGTCAAACATTTTTTTTTTAGTGGAGGTTTTACGGAGCTTGCAACTGCATAAGGTCATATGAGCGCCAGAAGATTAGAGGTGTTACAAGAGAGTAACAAACATAAAAAAGAAGAAGGGGAGATATGGACGATAGATGTTTGATAGGAAAGCAAAGAAGCAAACCACACCAGAGCACCCATCAACCGCCCACACTGTCAAACATAACCAATCTCACATTGCTGTATCCTTACTGCGTAACTGACGTAAAAAAAATAAAAAATAGGTCAACTTTTTTTTTCACACTCAAGCCAGTTTCCTTTGGCACTCTAGACAGTGGCAATAACAGAACATTAAGTGAGGTCAACTTCACAGACCAAACAAAAATGATTGCTGACCTTGTTGTTAGCCTCAAGGTAGTTATACAACACATTGACGCTGATGGTCAAATCTCCGACATTGAACGGGTACACCCTGTTCCACCCCTGGGCCCCGAACTTTCTCCGCTCACACACGACGGCATGGAAGTAACACAGCGAGAACAGGATGGCTTTGAATTCAACTTCCTTTGAGCACATTTCTAGAGTATCCTGAAAAATAGAAAGAGACCAAAAAAATAAATCCCTGAAATACTTATGATCAGATACTTATAGACAGTGAATTATCTTGTCAATATATGTCCCCGTCGTTTTTCTGCAAGAAAATTTTTGAAATTATGCAAACTGAGCCCAAAAATGTTAAATTATGCGATTCTGTTAATTTTAACAAAGAACGATAAAGGAAAATAATAAAAAAATTATGCAAAAAATGATCAAATTTTGCTAAATTATGCGGGGTGCATAAAACCACGGGGACAGCATTGTATTTGTGCTTTAGCACCTGTAAAATGGAAGCTTGCACTGCATGCTTTCCAAGAAAAAAAAATGTTTCTGAGTGTTCTAGGGTCTCCTGAGGTAATAATAGTTGTGAAGCGCACAAAGCATGCTGAAGAGCATGGATATATGCACTATATAAATACAACTATTAACTCATTCGCTACGCCGAGCCGTGGGGGGCGGCGCGGCTTAAGTGCCGTCAGTACGCTAAGCCACCCCCGGCGGCACGAGAACTGACGTTCAATTTTAGCTTGATTTCTATTCCAATCCACATATCCATGTTAAATTAAAGGTCATAATATAATGTTGACTTCCGGGTCAAGCGTTTCCATCGAAAATCGGAAGTTTTGATTCAGTTTTGAAACACTATTTCGAAGTTTATGCGACGTTGTATTATCGCGAAGCCCAAATTATAGCCCAGATACCAGTCTTAGTGCTTTTACACAACAAAATGTATCATTATTTTGCTCACTAAAGAAATGTAGGACTCTTCTTTATAATATTGATACTATTGGACTCAAATTGCCAGTGCACTGTAATTGAGAAATCAATCTTTTTGAGTGCTAAATACTAAATCTAGCCCTAGATCTAGATCTAAATAGTCAAAATATTTTTTTCTCCCCAAAGTCACTACTTTTTGGCGAAATTACTCATAAAACACCACTCAAGACATGTATAGGTTTATTCCAAACGCAATTCTGAATAATTCCATATAAGATACGAGCGTGTTTTTTTCTGTTTGTGATCCTTTTTTCAAAATTATTTTTTTTAAATCATTTTTTTTCAATATCGGAGGCTATGATCCAAATGTACAAATATTATGGAATGTATGTAAATAACTGCACATTTTTCAATATTTTCCTGTTCTATATACAGTTATGGTTATTTTGACGTTTCATTTGACTAGGTGCAAACATATTTTTTGAGTTTCACCTGAGATTATTAATTTTTTATTTTCAAATTTTATCCGCATCCAATCACAATTGTGTTGCATAATCGGCTCTTACAGGAACCAAAGTTGAAAAATACACAAATAAACAATACAGATGTATTCTACAAACTATACTGAAAATGTTGGTATATAATATGTTGATATTTATTTGAATTTATGACCCCAAAGACCTGTGAACTGCGCACCTGTCATCATCTCATTTCGCCCGCCCGAAAAAAATTCGTCAACAAGCCGAAAATAATACGTAGCGAATGAGTTAATATTAGCCTACTGTTATTACTGTTTTCATGAGTAATAAAACATTAATGAATTATGCCACCACTGGACTGACTCTTTGTACATTTTTATTTCCTCTCTTATTACAAGACAAGTATCACTGAGAGGATGGAAAATCTCCACATTTTCTAATAACATTTTATAGCAAAAAAAAAATCTTGTTAAAAAACACTGAGTGAAAGACACAACCAGCCCCTTGCAACTCTGAAATCAACGTTACATACTTTTGTCATTGGAAGGATAAATCCAGCAAACGTAAGGCTACACCTTCAAACTCAACTTTGTTTATGTTATGAAAACTTCATTAAACAAGCATTTGGAAAAACTGCAAATGAGGATTTTAATAAGTTCAACAAAGCTGCCAAAATAGTTGGGGGGGGTTTTAATAGAGGGTTTTGCAGCGCTCGCAACTGCACAAGGTCATATGAGCGCCAAGGGGTGGGTGTCAACAGGGAAGTCTTTACAGGGAATCAGACTTACTCTGCTCACCTCTCTAGCTTCAACAGCACAAGGTCCTGCTTCAACTATCAAGGCACCCCGGAAACAGCGGGTCACAAGAGAGTGACAAACATACAAAAGATGTAGAGGAAAATGACGATAGTAAGGATTAGGAAAGAAAAAGCAGCAGTACCCTGTTGTAGATCAGGCACAGTTATGAGCGTGACAAGATGAATCACCCCATTTGGAATTTTACTGCGCTTGAACGAGAAATGTTCCCCCTTTGGGAATGGCCTAAAGACACTACAGTCAGTGGCATCGCCCCGGGGGGGCTAAATAGTTTGATTTGGTTGAGTTCAAAACCCCCACAAGACAATAAAATGTATCCTTTTAACACTTTGCCACCTCATCTCGCCGATTGGTGATGTTTACCACCCAGTTTCTTTGGATTTTATGGCAAAGTGTTAAAGGTGAGAAGTGAGATACTAAGCTTAAAGGTATAAGTACTGAGAGAATAAGTATGAGCATGAACATAAAGCATAGAATCAAAGTTAACTCCGCAAAAGCATTGGTGCTGTTCAAGTCAGATTTACCTGATTAAAATTGTCCAGTGCTTTATGCAAGTTAGCAAGCATCCCCGTTGGTGGTTCGTTGGTGATTTTCACCGATGCTTCTAAGATGCCCTGAGGCATGATGTGGGACTCGCGGGTCCCGGCCGGTTCTGCGCTGATGAACACTCGGTAATTGAGGTGGCTCTCCTCCGAGTACTGCTCTATCTTCTTCTCCAGTCGAGACAGCCATTTTGCTACCAAGTGAACATTCTGCAAGTTTCAAGCAAGAATTTTTTTCTTTTTCAGTAAAGAGAAGCACATTCACACAATGACTACCATTTAAAGCTGAGAAAAAAAGCTAGAAAGAGAAGGTAAGAAAAGAAGAGGCACCTTCCAGTTGTGAACTATAACCACCTGCATTTCACACACATGAGAAAGATTAAAAGACATTTTGTTGCAACTACAGTAGTCTCCGCCTAAACGCACGGTGCTTGGGAGGGCTCCTTGGCGTGTGTTTATACGGAGCGTGCGTTTACACGAACCTTTGCAAGGGGAGGAAGGGACGCTGTCATCTCTATTCCTTATTACTTTAGTGATCTCCCTTGGAGGAGGGGGTCATTTTGGCAGATAATGTGACGACACGTTACTGTTTTGTGAAGGATTTCCCGACAGGGGTTAAGAATACAAAGGCGTTGAATGGGGGGGGGGGGGGGGGGGGGGGAGGAGGAGAAAGACAAACTCAATGTAATGAATACTATAAACGTCGGGAACAGATAGCCTAAGAGGAAACTGTTGGTCATAGTCATAGAGACGACGGACCAGCCACGTGGCTTTCCAAGCGACCACCCCGACCGTAAATTAATGCAGAATCGTCGAGAAACATTTTCTCTTGTGCAAGTACGTTATAAGTTCTTCGAGCGCAGCTTATTAGGCTTACCTGGCTAATCTTTAATCTTATAGAGCCCGTCTAGTGTTTTACGGCATTTACGCATGTCGCGCATCAGGCCTAGATCTAACTAAACATTACACGCAGTCACTCAAACTCAAACACCAGTCAGAAAGCTTCTCTCAAAGATACATTTCCAGTGACCAATCAAAAAACATTTCAGTCCCCCCCCCCCACCCACCCCAACATTTAAATTTAACCGACCAGCCATAGACCGAGACCTATTCGTCAGTGGAAAGTATGGTGTGCAAACGCTTCCATCACTCTCTTCGTACGACGTGAGGGGCACTCTCACCAAATATCTGGTTTTCTAGTAAATTCTAGGCCTGTCTTATGCAGGCTGTGCAGGTTGTCGTGAAAATTTCCCCTTGTCAAGCTTTGCCTGTCGGCGTGTTTCGCGGATCGGAGCGTGCGTTTAGAGGAAGTGACCGTGCGTTTGTACGTCTAAATTATATAGTAAAAAACTCGTCAGATGACGAAAGCGTGCTTTTAAGCGGAGGGTGCTTTTGTATGGCGTGCGTTTAGGCGGAGACTACTGTATCTTTATTTTTTACATCACCAGTACAAAGACATTTGATAATTTTGTCAAATATAAAAATAAAAAAGAGTAAATGCCTGAAGTATGACAGCTGACTGGAAGTTATCCCAACAGAGTTAACCTAAATTCTTTTGACATCAGATCAGTCATTGAACATTAAAAAATGCACCGTAACTAGATTCACAGCACTGTTAAACTAAAAATGTAAATGCTTATATATATATAATGCACTTCTTGAAAATCAATTTACTTTATATCGACTGCTGAGAGTGAGAGTAAGACTGCCACATGCCATTTTGAAAAGCGACATATGAAGGAGTTTTACACTGAGCAGTCAATATGAAATTTCACAAGACAAATACGGACAACATACACAAGGGAGGCGGTGGCCCTGGCGAAGAGCACGCTCTTCTGGGCTCCAAACATTTTGAACGGATAGGCTACAACACACACACATCAACCACATACAAATATGAACTGGTCTGGTTCATGTTAAATGCACGAGAAAGTGAACAAGCTATAGATAGCGGGAACACACCTGTAATACCACCCAGTGGCCTTTCTTCGCTGCCAGGTCCATAGCCTTCTCGGCAACAATCTCCTGACCTTGACCCAGAGAGATGTTGTGGCAGTTCTCTTTGGCCATCGTGTAGCCCAGCTTTTTGCCCAGTTTCTCCACGTCTTTCAACGGGTCCACGCCGGGGGAGAGAATGAAGAAGATGGGTGTGGCGGGGCCCGACTCTTCAAATGATTTGCTGAATTCTACGGCACGGTTCTCGATGTACTGGCGTCCCATTGACTCCTCAATGAAAGCACTGGGGTCAGAAGAGAGAGAAAAAAAAGAAGGCGTTTCAAAATTCAATACTTTAGTGGTCACACTTTATGTGATTGTAATTGTAAAAGTCATACGCCTCTATCTGCACACCTTAGATCACTCAAGAGGCCGGCTGCTTCCATCCGCTTTGTCAGGGTCATCTATAATAAGACTGAGAGGGATACATCGTCCCAGTAGAAAGACAGGGAGGAGATACTCCATAGACAGCGAAAGATCTTGTCAGTATGTTAGTGTTTTAGCGCCTATAAATGGCTGCTTGCACTGTGTGCCTCCCAGGAAGTTGAGGTTGTTTCAGAATGCTCTCAGGTATAGATTTGCGAATCGCATAGAGCTTGCTGTTGAGGGGGAATTTGCATTAAACAAATGCTGTCTATTTTCTATTATTATACTCAATAAATTTCTCCCCAGAGGAGGATCAAACTTTCGTCTTCTGCATGCCACGGCAAATCGTCCAACCACTGTAACAAAGACACTGATAGTCAATCTCTGATTAACTGTAGTCCCCCCCAAAAAAACATAATAAGTTAGTGGCCTCCCAAAAGACAGTTGTATGATCACGAATTTATTTATTTCTTGTCTGTTTTTCAAGTCATGCAAGGTATATTCTTGCTTTTAAAATATTACAAATGACATAAACTATTCCATCGTGCTAATCAGCAAGCACTATATCAGTGCCAAAAAATCGGGCACGGGGAAACTCAGACAAAGCTCACGGCTAAAGCACTGTACTTAACAAAGAGACAGAAAATATTCCAATCAAGACTGTTCTTCCACATCTCGTAAAAACAGGACTGCAATACCATTAAGGTATGCTTAACTCCTAATCAGGATTTAGGAATAGGAAAACTCAGAATCAAAGAAGCAAATCTGGTCTTCAATCAATAGACAGTCTTTTAAAACAACAAATAGCATTGAAAATATGAAACATAATACACAAGTTATGTAACAGATGTACGTCTCGGCATTATAACTAAATGAAGCCCTGGCACTGGCAAATTTATTCACTTTTTACATTCATTTATTCACCACACAATAAGCCACAATGCTTGACTACCACAGACACAATTTTGATTCTAAGCAGCTGTGGGATGTAGAATCTTTTATAACTCTTAAAGGGAAGGCTGACCTGCTAAGAGCAAGAAAGCAAGAAAACATACATTCCCAATAGTAACAGATATTTTCCAAAATTTAATAAATTTCAATTCCAAACCTTTTAACAAAACTAAATCATAAAGACAATTTCAAAGTGGCAAAAACAGCCAAAAGAAGAAAAGGATCAAATTTGAACCGTGGCAAATGGCGAAGAAACGTCCATCTTACGTGATGGCATTGCTCATTCGATCAGGCCTCAGAGCCCTCATCATGCACAGCTTTTCTAAAGGAGTTTTATTTTTCCACTCCTGAGGGAACTTCTCTTTTTCTGGGGCTTCTCCTTCAACAAACTTTTTCCAGCGCTTCGCAGATCCAACAATATCCTTATCCAGGTTCCTGAACGCATCATGTTCGGACAGAGCCTGACAAAAAAATACCCATGGTTATGAGGTCCAGTTCAGCAGCTACTGTACAAAATGTGGCGCATTACATGCCATATGACTACGGTAAAAGAAATCCTTGGGTTTAGTTTTAGTAGAGGTTTTCGTTAGTTTAGTTTCAGTAGAGGTTTTACGGAGCTCGCAACTGCATAAGGTCATATGAGCGCCAGAAGATTAGAGGTGTTACAAGAGAGTAACAAACATAAAAAAGAAGAAGGGGAGATAAGGACGATAGATGTTTGATAGGAAAGAAGAAGCAAACTACACCAGAGCACCCGCCAACCACTCACTAATCCTTGGGTAAAATCTTTAATTTCACATATTCCTACAGCGTTTATCAAAGACAGACATACATTTGCCCTTATAATAAGAATGGCTAACCCACAAAATGTCCAAAGATTTTATTTGATAAATCGGTAGCAAACTGTCTATTTCATATATATGTTCAAAGAGATAGGTATGAAGGAGATAGTGGCCATGGGTTGGAACAAACAAGACGACATGTAGGCCTATGCTTAAGTCTGTGCTGATGTAGGAGATGCACTGGGATCTCACCGATAATTTGGGGATTGATTTGATAAAACTTAGAAGCACACAATTTCTGTTTGATGCAAATCAATGCAAGAAACCCTGGTGTGGGATGCCTTCTTTTATATATATATCCTCATTAGCTTATGCCGGTCACCCCCATCATTCACTAGCCCCTCCCCCCCCTTCCCCTTTATCCCTCCCCTACCCTATCTAAGGCACTGTCAAACATCTATTGTCCTAATCTCTCCTTCTTTCTTGAGCTTGTTAATCTCTTGTAACACCTCTAATCTTTGGTACTTACTTATAATTTATATGACCTTATATATATGCTGCAAGCGCTGTAAAACTCTTACTAAAACTTAAACTAATGCAGAAAAAAGTCCAAGGCTAAGCTCAAGACAGATTTATTTTTTTTTGGCGATAGACAGGTTCAGCAATTCAAGAAAGATACCTTAATGCCACCCCAGCCTAGGTCCGTGAGAAAATCTACTGGACTCTTTGCGTCTGCAGTTGCTGGAAATCGCAGTAGAAAATCAAGGCACTCTGCATCAATTTCTTTCATCTGAGTCAAAATCTGTGGACACAGTCAATGAATAAATTAGCCCATGTGTCTATCAAACCAGAAACCAACAGACCAAAAGTCGTCCCTCTCTCAGGAATCAGAAGTTAAAAAAGAGCACTGGTATTTACCGAACCAATCAGTGAAAAGTTGAGTTGGTTACGCCATTTTAGTCGAATCATCTTGGTGACTCATCAGCCAAAGGCCCAGCCAGAGCCCAAAAAAATTTTCAGTTTCAATTAAAACAATCGTCTTATTCGTAATCAGTGCCTAAGAATTAGCAGTCTAAGCGTAAACCTCCTTTTTGAATTATTATTAACAATTTCATTAAATTTTTAAAACATCATTCATGCTGTAATTCCTGCTTTGCATTCCTTAACCTTTGACCTGTCCACATGTTGGATACAACCAGACCAAATTTAGCCCAACTCAACAAAAATCGGGTCGATTCTGCTTTTGTGGACACAAGGCTTTAAGTTTAAGCTAACAAACTGTACCGTCATACAACATGTAAAAAAGCACACCCCACACATAATTGTTTTCAGTAAAGTAAAACTATCTTGGGATACGAAGCACTCTTTATGTCAATCTAAAATTCTCAAAAAGAAATTGACAAGTTGTAATTTTTCCTTTCTCTTGAAAGTAACAGCTAAAGAATGATGAAAAGCCGTTATCTCTTGAGATCTTTACTTTTGTATCTATCAGAACCTTTCAAATACTAGTTTTTGATACAACCCCCCCCCCCAAAAAAAACAACAACAAATAAGCAAACACTGTAGGAAAGATACCTGAAAAGTCATCATGGTTCCAAAAATCAGCTTGTCCCTCTCAAAGAGGCCTCGCGTGGTGTAAACATAGACAGAGTACGTGTTGCAGTCGATCAGGTTCGACACTCTCTCTTGCTCCGTATCCGCTGGCTCGGCCTTATCAATGGATTTGTCAAACACAACACTGAAAGCCTGAAAGGAGAAAACATTCTTTTTTTTAAACACATAAAAACGGGGAGCACTGAAGGCCTACGAAGGGGGGGGGTTATTAAAACTCATCAAAATGAGGAGCAGAATACTTGTCTGAGCTACATAATGCACATGAATACAATAAATACAATACAAATGGCTACTTTATCTTGGGGAAGACACAACATAGCAGAAAAAGAATGCATTTAGAAGAAAAAACAGCAGAAACCAGCCATAGCCAGCACTCTCTGACCACTTGCATTTCTACCTTTTCTCACTTGGCAAAGCACAATAAGTTGTCCTTTCACAAGTCGGGGGACTTGCACTCGGCTCTCTCACATGATCCCATCACATACTTTTAGCTCAAAAGTTTCTAACAAAACTGGAAATATGTTTTTAGCATATCAAGAACTAGCTCACAGAGTAAGTTTTGTTTTAGTAGAGGTTTTACGGCGCTCGCAACTGGATAAGGTCATATGAGCGCCAAGGGGTTGATGTCAACAGAGAAGTCCTTAGAGGGAATCAGACTTACTCTGCTCACCTCTCTAGCTTCAACAGCACAAAGTCTTCTTCGACTATAAAGGCACCTCGGAAATAACAGGTCACAAGAATGTGACAAACATACAAAAGAAGCAGAGGAAAAATGACGATAGTAAGGATTAAGAAAGAAAGAGCAGCAGTTTCCTGTTGTAGTTCCGGCACAGTTATGAGCATGACATCGATGAATCAGCCCATTAAAAATTACAATTCTACTGTGCATAAGAACTCGAGATGTTGATGTCCCCCCTTTTGGGAATGGCCTAAAGATACTTCTGTCAGTTGCTCACAGAATGAATCATAGATTGCAATACTTCAGTAAATAATACAGTGAACCATTTATTATCTCAATACTCTAGTAAACAATAAAGTGGACCATTTATTACACTGCAATATTTAGTAAATAATAAACACAAAATGGTTATAATCTGCAGGGACAACTGATTTTGTAGAGCCCTGAAAAAAGTGTCTGTACAACTCTTACCTTCAATGAGAACTGATACATTGGGTGAATCTTAAACAAATCATTCATGATGAAGTACAGGAGCGATGCTCTGGCTGCAACAGGACGATAATTTTCTCGAGCGAGGTTGATCTCCTTCTCCGTAATCTTGGCCTCTGCGGCCTTGACCTCAATTTCTGCCGCCGTGCGTTTCGTTGTCTCCAGGTTCTCAACTAGCGCATAGTCACCCAGGAAGTTTCCTTCAGCTGTCGACAGTCGAGCCAGGAGATTGTCCTCCAAACCTGTCGGAAGTCAGAAGAGGATAAATCATCGGTGTAATTCAATAATCATCCATATCAATTTGTTTTAGTAAGCGTTTTACGGCACTTGCAACACAAATAGGTCATATAAGTGCCGAAGATTAGAGGTGTTACAAGAGAGTAACAAACATAAGAAAGAAGGAGAGGAGATAAAGACGATAGTTATTTGATAGGAAAGAAGGAGCAAACCACACCAGAGCACCCGCCAACCACCTGCTCACATCATTTTCTGAGGGTTTCCGGGTAAAGCAGTTATTTGAGAAAAAACACCAATGACATCTTACAATAAAGTTTCGTTTTGTTCTGCTTTTTCCTTCCTAGTTAATAATTGAAAAATTAGAAATGGTAAAGTCATGGTTTTGATCATGGCACTCTGTTCTTTTATTTTCTCCAAACTTCAAAATATGATTTAGACGCTTGTGGAAAGAGGCTGAAAAAATGTCATAAGAAAATGAAAGGTCTTCATGTGTGTACAAAGTCTTTTTAAGCAGAGATAAACATTTGCTCAAGACAGCTATATTACTAAAACTATATTTTAACAGCAAAACTTAAAGCTTTTCTAGATTCTTTTCAACACTTCTTTTGATCAAAGCACAAATAACTTTGGTAAGAAAGGTAAATACAATTTTTATCCATATGTATGAATAGTAAAAACAGAAAACTTTGATCATATTATTCTCAACACAAATTTTGAAAATAAAAAACAAAAACTGTCAGGCACAACTTCATTTCTGCCATACTTGTAAAGTTCATTCAACATGTATCTTATAGAATTAATAAAATTACAACAAATAAAAAGGAGAAAAAAATATTTGAAATTACAGAAACATTTCACAATAAACAAATCTATCCAGAGACCTTTCAAAGTGATTTTGAACTCATTCTGCTGTCGCGTGAGATCCGACTTGAGTTTCTCCAGATCCGGCCGTTCCTTGGATACCACAGCCCCAAGCAGCTGGTCCTCCAGACCATCTCTGGAGACAAGAAATGTTCGCAAGTTAACCATGATGAAAAATCTTTATTTTTGGACATTCTTGCACAGGTCAGCAAACATAAATTTAAAATCAAATCTGCAGTACATGTCCAGATTATACCCCTTATATACTGTATCAGCTAGTTTCCTTTCGAAGATGGAATATTTTGAATATCCTCACCACTCAAGTCAATGCAACAACACAGGAATAACAGTCTCAACTTTTATAAGAAAGCAAAGGAAACAGACCTATATGTAATTACTTCTACCTGCAATTAAGTTTCAAATTAAAAAGATAAAGAAAAGCTGAGAGCATCTAAAGTGCAGGACTGTGGCCATGAAAAAGGCATCCTAAACACTTTGTCTTCCCCAAAGAATTTCCTAGACACAATCCTTTGAAGGAGAAGTCACACTTTTTAAATTACTCTTTTTCTAGAAAATCAAGGGCAAAAAAGTATTGTCAATAGTGTTCTATAAAGTACGCTTAACAGACAAGTAACAAGTCTCTCTGGACAGCTGTGTCATGCACGTGATAGATTAGACAGAGGTCAATTTTGATATGTTATCTTTTCAAAAAAATCCCAAACATGAGTATTACTGGTACCTTAAATATGGTCCATTGCGTGAGTAAGTAACTAACGTTATAAAATAACAGGATCAAGTGTTCAAAAAGTTTGTTTTTTTTTAAGCCTAAAAATTTGTTTTGTACCCCCGGGGTTGTATTCTTCACATTTTAGAATACTTCTAGAATGAAGACCTCTTTGAAACTTTCAGTATTTCTTAAAAAATAATTTTGACGCTCTGTGCAAAGCATACGGATCGGATTAACGAGTAAATTTCCTCTTTGGAAGTGGTGGCACAGAGTTCCCCACGTCGTATGGATACGATAGTTAAACAAGACGTACGGATAGGGTTAATTCTGCGACAGATCCTTTACCAACCACTCACAAAAAAAGAAATAGTCAAACCTGTTCTAGCCATCACCAGTCCTAGGCAATCACTTGTCAAAACAACCACTTCCCCCTTTACGTTTTTTCTACATTGTACAACAATGTCCAAGAGTTCCACCTGTCTAAAATGACCATTTTTTTCTTATTTACAATGGATGGTCAGCTTAGGCAGGTTCGACTGTATGTACAATTTGAGAAGTACAAAGTAAGCACCTGGTTACTGTGAAATTAATGAGGGTTGTCTGAGCCTGCATCTCCGGCTTGTAGTGAGGATTTGCCAGTTTAGTCTGAAGGATTAGTCGGAACTTGGGATGGTAATTGATTTCTTTATCTCCAATCTGTAAAAAAATGGTACATGGAAAAAAATCGAGGGTTCAATTGGTGAAACAAAATTCAGGTTTCATTTCTCCATCACCTTATATCATCCCTTCCATTCTCAACAGGAAATTCCTTCCCCATCACGAAAAATCCTTTCATTTTACTACCATCACAATAATATTACATTACTGAACTGAAGAAATCAGAGATAAAGTTTTGTCTATCAAGTAATATCTCATTAGATAAGCACTGTTTTTCCAAGTTTTCTGAAACGAACAGCGAATGAATTTGGTAATATACATCCCTACATTCATTGTACATTGTGACATTAACTGCAAGACAAGCGCCTTGACGGGCAAGGCCACATTGAACCTGGAGAAGAGTCACAAAGAATGATGATGTACAGAAAAGTAGGAAGACATGGAATAATATCAAGAAGCTAGGATGCAATAGGGAAATGTGGAGGAAAGTGTTTGTTCGTGACCTATAGCCTGATCCAGGGAGAGTAAAGCATTGATGATGATGATGATGATGATGATGATGATGATGATGATGATGATGATGATGATATGAATGTACGCACTTTGGCTTTTACAGCTAGTGTAGATCTAGTCATTTTTATTTTGAATGTTCCTATTGAAAGCCTGTTGAGGGCGAAATGTTGAACTTGTCATTAAATATTTGGGAAATACTACCAGGTCTAAACTGTTTTACTATCTGCTGCACACAATGATGATGATGATGATGATGATGATGATGATGATGATGATGATGATGATGATGATGATAATGATGATGATGATGATGACGATGATGACGATGATGATGATGATGATGACGATGATGATGACAACGACAAGGATGAAGACAATGGTGACGATAATTACGATAATCACGATGACGATGAATCACCTTGATAGCTCTCCCTTTCTTGATGGTGTTCCTGCCCAGCAGATGATCCAGCACGGGGTCCACAGACTCCATGATGTTCTCCATCATCAGCACCTCTCCTGTCTCCACAGCCTTCTCAATGACATCCAGGTAGCCGTGAGAGCCCAGGCGAACCACCTAAAGAGCACAGGGTTAGCTTAGTTTTAGTATAGGTTTTAAGGCGCTCGCAACTGCATGAGGTCATATGAGCGCAGGAAGATTAGAGGTGTTTCAAGAGAGTAACAAACGTAAAAAAGAAGGAGGAGAAATAAGGACGATAAATACTTGATGGGAAAGAAGAAGCAAACCACACCAGAGCACCCACCAACCACCCACAGAGCACAGGGGAAAAACGACGGTAGTCACAAACTGGAAATTGTGAGGGTGCCAATTTTAAAAGCTTAATTGTGGACTCATAACTTCATATTTGTTTGACTGGTGGTTTATTGTTATGTGTTGTTGAATGGGAAATCGAACAACAATAATCAACCAACAGTTGAACAGAAATACAGTTATGAGTCAACAAGCGTCCAAAATTGGTACCCTCACGATTTTCAGTTTGTCACTACTGTCGTTTTTCCCCTGTAGTATTCACCTGGATAAGCACAGATTGATCATACATCTCACAGAGGATATCGTCACTGTCGTAAGAAATTATCCACTTAAATCCTAATTTTGAGAACTTTTCTTCGATTTTTTCACCCTCCTGTAGGTCTTTCATTTCAAAGATGTGCCATTCAACATCACCAAAATGCAGTTTAAAGCAATGGTCAAGGCTTGAAATTATGTTCTTGCTTTCGATGATTCCTGATAGGAACAACACGACAAAATCTAGTTTTTTGTCGCTGGTGTGAATAGTACCCAAAAGGACTAAAGTGGATTGCTTGCGACACAAATGATATTCGTGGTGAATGGCTTAAAGTATTATTTGCACAACACAGGTACGTCAACATGTTTCACAACGGCTTCTCACACAGAATATGAACCGGCATTTGTGGCGTAGTGGTTAGGTACTCCGCAGTCACATGTGAAAGACTTCAGTTCAGTTCCCATGTGGAATGAATTTTTATCGAGTATCTGGGTCTGTCCTGGTGGCACATTGTATCTCTCTCAGTCTGAAATGGTCATGACAAGCAGGGTCGAAGCCCATCTCCCAAATTATGTAAATTTAGTAAAAATGTCTATGTTGAAAATTTTTTTTTCACATAATAGGATGTTAATTTGGCAGTAATACATTTTTCCATGTGTTTAAAGCAAAATAGAATTATTTACAGGGATAAATCACATAACAAAAAATTGATGGAAAGTAAAACAAGTGCTGAGTTACAATGCTATGTACTATGAGGATACTTGTTGACAGACAGTTCTGGTCTCTATAATACACTCCATTCTGGTCAAGTCATCATCTGCATTTATGCAAAATGATCATCAAATAAATATGTGTCTTATCACAAATCAAAATTCCATTGAATAAATGATTGATAATTCTCAGTCCCTGCAAAAATGTGCACAAAAGAAAAGACAAAAAGAAAAAGGAAGCTTTTAGTGAGTTTGCCAGTCAGTGAATGGTTTGGCCCAGTTTCCCTCAGTTTCTTCAGCGACTGACACTGTTGTCCCAATCTTGATCCACCTTGACAGCTTGCTGCAAAAAATCTTTTGACTTTCATTTTTGGCCAAAATCAGTTAAAAACAAGTTTCTCAAATTCAAGATCTTGCACATTTTGTTGTATAATTTATTCAGAGCTCTATTGCAATAAAAAAACACCAAGACCACATTCCAAATTTGAAGAAAGCGTGACTTATAGCTTTACAACACACCACTTTTATGCCTCTCGTGTAAACTTTTGAAAATATCAGCTGAGAGAGTGTCACAGCAGGGTAAATGTGAGAACAGTTGAGACAGCAGAGTCATAAAATTATTAGTCAATCTACCCTCAATCACATCATTTTCATCATCAGCCTTTCTCACTCCACGTTGAAGTATAAGCCTTCAACAAGAGCTCTCTGTGTAAGCCCCCTACTTCTATCCCGGGCTATTGTCTCCATCTCTGTCCTGCTGTAATCCCATCTCCTTAAGGTCAGAATCTAAGTTCCTCCTCCAAGTACTTTTAGGCCTTCCTTTCCTTTTCTCTCCTAGAAGACTCCATCTTAAGTAAGGCGGGTAATATTTGCTTTCATTTTTCTCAAGGTGTGTCTAATCCACTTCCATTTTCTTTTTCTGATTTATATATATTTGTCCATTTTCTGTTGATTCGTTTCCGTTCTTCTTTTCTTATGGTGTGAAGGCAATAAAATTTTAGCATTTTCCTTAAGCAGCTATTGCCTGTGGCTTTGACGAAGTTTGTTTTGTAAACCCCCAATCACAGCAAGGCGTAAATTACCCTGAGGCTGCTCCCATATCTGGTCTTGATCCATTTGGAGCCCTGCAGCTGAGGGTCAATCATAAGAGGCCAGCGCTCGCAGTTGGTGAGGATGGTGGCGTTCTCAGTGCTCATCCTGTCTCCAGGCAGGTTCTCATTGCTCCAGCTGGCCACCTGGAGAGTGGAGCCGAAGTATTGGGTTTCATTGCTTTGACAAGTGTTTTAGCATTTTTACCTCTTGCCCCAGGTTTCAAGAACAAAGTTGTTACTACAGATTAACATTACTACTTCATAATACCAAGGTGATTTGTAAGAAGTTTATATCTTCGGGGGGAAAAAACAGCATTCGAAGACCAGCAACATCATACTAGACTTCAAGCCGAGCTGAGGGACTGAAATGTACAGTCGAACCTGATCTAACAGACAGCTGTATAAGACAATCACCTGCATAAATGCCCACCTCCCATCTCCTCTCTTGCATATTTTTTACATTCTAGTGACACCATATAAGACGCCCACCAGTCAAAGTTACAATCACTTTTCTCCTCGACCATAGATGGCTTTCTTAGACAATTCTGACTATTTATCTTTGACAGCACAGAGGGGTAACTCATAACAAATCTACTCACTTGAGCAGCATCCACAAGCATGACCAAGGGATCAAGATTCTCAGTGACTGGAATCGGTACTTTGAGTTGTTTCAGGAAGGCTACCCACTTGTTCTCGAGGAGATCCATTCTGTATGTCTTTGAGAAAATAGACAACAGCCACATAGAGTTTGCTATTTTATTACTTGTTTGAGTAAAGAGGAACACATTAACAAAATAATGGTCAACTAGTACTGTAAAACTGTAAAACAGTACAACAGACAGCCAGAAACATCAGAGGGAAAGAAAAGAAGTAGGTTTGAACATGGTGTCCACCATGTGATTACATAACTGTGGTTCTGTGCCACAAGACAGACAAACTGGTTAGAACTCGTAGCTGCCTGCTTGTACTGAATATGTCCCAGGAAACTGAAAATGCTTCAGAATTTAACAGGGTTTATTGAAATAATAATAAAACAATGTAAAGTGCACAGAGTCTACTTTCAAACAGGGTTCTGCCCTACATAAATGTCCAAGTTTTTTTTTATATCATTGTCACTGCTATTTGTTGGTATTTTATTTTTTTAAATGACAGAATAGAGCAACAAATCAACAACATTAAACAAAGTTGAAGGAGGTGGAAGTGAGGGGGGTCTGAATCATTGTTGCATTATGAACTGAAAAGACTACACGTTTATTATGACACCTTTGTGAAAGATCCAACGTAGGAAACATATGCAGTAATTAGCAGCACATCTCCGGGGAGAGTCTTCTCATTTTCGTGAAAGTCCTGGATGGCATCTGCCCACCTCACATTCTCGGAGGCCAGTCCACCCACGAGGCGGTTCGCCAGATCAATGGTGGCCGCGGTGGAGTCGGCTTCATCCTGGCATTTTTGCTTCGTCTCCACGGCTTGGTTCAGCTCTGCCTGGCACTCGCCCAGCGTCTGCTCCAGCTGGGCAACACGGGCTGGATGGAATAAACAAACAAAATTCCAAACTTTCATAGAATCACAGCTATCCACTCTTCATATACACCAATTAGAAGCAGCCCGCAAGTGATTTTTTGACTTACCTTTGCTACACAGGTGACACACAAATAGCTTCAAAATCGGAATTCTCTAAGCTAGGAGTGTGGGAAAGGGGTTAGTGTCCCACTCCCCAGGACAGCCTGGGAGAGATCTAAAATAGGAAACAAAAGCTAGGAAAAAAAAAGCCCCAAGAAAAACTAATAAACTGAATAATCAGGTACTAACAAATAGATCTTACCATTGTTATTCATATTCTCATATTGTTGTTCCAGCTTAGTGTTGTAATGTCATTGTATTTACTTACATTCTCGAAGTCAATGACGGTCTGATAAAAATAAGATCACAAATGAGGCACCTGAAAAAGGGACACCAAAAAATAATAGAAACATTTTTTTTTTTAAACAAAAACAAACTCTTATAATGCATTGCATCATTTCCACTGGCACGCAGTCAGTACCATTTATTTTCTACCACCAGCTGAATTGGTGCACAACATTGATCCGTTGTTTGCAGTCACATCAAAAATCTAAAAAACACCGGCCAGATCACATGCATTTGATAAGTCAACTCTATTTTTATCACACAGGGTATTCATTTCTACTCAGCGGGGTGTTTATTGTATGCAACAATGTTAGAAACAGGAGTGGAATTATTGGGAAATGTGTTATAAGATCTCAACAGCAGCTTGAAACAACCAGAGCATGGCCAAACAACTCAAGAGGGTGGTTGGCGGGTGCTGTAGTGCGGTTTGCTTCTTCGTTCCTATCAAACATCTATCGTCTTTGTCTCCCCTCCTTCTTTTTTATGTTTGTTACTCTCTTGTAACACCTCTAATCTTCTGGCACTCATATGACCTTATGCAGTTGCGAGCGCCGTAAAACCCTCTACTAAAACTAATCTAAAAACAACTCAAGCTACAAATTAGCATATGGTCATTTGTAATGAACAAATTCAGCATGAACAATGTTACAAATCTACATGTGCTAGTACAGCACTTTTAGCAACTCCCCCCAACCTTTAATGGTAGCCAGCTTATCCTGAGCAGCCTGCAGTTCATTGTTGGCTTTCTTCAGAGCAATTCTTTTTGGCTCGACATTACAGAAGACCTCGTAGTACCTCATGATGTTGATGACCCAGGAGCAAAGACCTTTACAGAGTGAGAAAAGGAAAGAAACCAAGCAAGATTAAATCATCCATGAAATATTAAAGCAGCTAAAGACACAAAGAAATAAATTAACTGGAAACAGTTGGCCTATTAAAATACCATTCAAAACATGCTGCTGCGCAAGGTGAATTCACTCTTTTGACTGACTTTCGGAGTAGGCTCAGTTGTGTTTAGATAGAAGCTATTCAGAAATTTCGATAAAATGATTGTTAAAAAATTGTGGGCTTTGAAAAGTAAAAGTAAGCTCAACAGAAACATGACAAATATCTCCATACAGCAATGCTGATATATAACAGAACATGTCAAGATTATTCCAGGGGAGATATCAATTCAAACAATCAACATTTTCTTTACTTTAAATATTGTTACTACCTGGCCGAGCACCTTACACCAGTGATGATACATAATGAGATAGTCCACTCAGCCAAAAACGTGTCCGCCGGAAGTCCGTGCAATGGCTCAGATCTATGGCGCTGCAGTCTTTGTTTTGAAACTCTCTTTCGTTTCTCCTAAAGAAGAATAGGCGAGCGCAAATCGACTGCTGTTCATCAGCTGTTCGGGTTCGTTCAGTGCGGAGTATTAGTTTTTTTTATTTCAATGACCTCTCGCCTCTCATTCTAAAGTCAAATTAAACGAAGAAATCAGTCGCCTCTTCCTCCGGAACAGGTTTTTTGTCAGCTTAAATAATTTTGAAAAAGCGTTCTTCCGAAATTTGAATTCTTATTCATTCAAGAACTTGTTAGTTTCACTTTGATTTTTTTCACACAAGTTGGGTAACTCTGTTCGCAAAGGGTGCATTTGCGAAGAGGGCACCACCGAACTTTGAGGACACTTTTTTAATTGGCTCAAAGAGAGGAGTGGACCATCTTGTTATGTATCATCATTGCTTACACTAGAGGAACTACAGAATTAAATCCTAAAACAAAAAAAAGTAGGCAACTTTTCCTGTACCCTTAGTCAATGCTTCAATATTGACAACTATAATCAATAGTTTTTTTTAACCTGAGTTAACAGTTGTATCTTACTGTCCCATGAGAAAGTTAATAATATAATAAATCAACATCTCCCTTTAAAAATTATTTTTTTTACTAGTTTCTTTCTTAATGAACCATTGTCAGCGCTCATATGACCTTATGCAGTTGCGAGCGCCGTAAAACAATTACGAACACAAAACAGAACCATTGTCAAAATTTTTTTAAAGAAGAACAATAGTTCTTTTTCTTGTGCTACAGGTCTCCTGCGGTACACAGTTGTGAAAACATCAACAATAATAACCACGACATTTGCCACATGAAACCTGCAGCGGCCAGAGATTTCGCTTTGATAAATTCGGGATCAAACTCAGGATTGGTCAGATATGGCTGCACAGCTTGTTGGCAGGTGACAGGAATGTTGTCTTTGTCGTAGTTGATCAGGTTGTCCAGAAAGTGATCCACCTGTCTCACAAAGAAATATTTGGTGAAATAAACAAAATCGTCAGCAAGTTCTAAGCTCAGAAAGTAAAATTTTTCATGACAGAGAAAATGTGTTTCATTCTTTTAACAATTGTACCAACATTATGTATCTTTTCTTGCTTTTTTTCAACATTTAGAATTTGAATTCGACAAATATATTTCACAAGCACACGCAACCAATAGGGAAGGGCGGGGCCTCCTATGGTGTCTTATCTTATTTTATCTTATCTTACAAGTGTCAAAGATTAGAGCTGTTACCAGAGAGTAACATAAAAAGACAAGAAGGAGAAGAGATTACAACGATAGATTGTTTTTATAGGAAATAAAGAGAAAACCAGACCAGAGCACCCGCCAACCACCTGCAAACACACATTACAACGATAGATGTTTTTATAGGAAATAAAGAGAAAACCAGACCAGAGCACCCGCCAACCACCTGCAAACACACATTACAACGATAGATGTTTTTATAGGAAATAAAGAGAAAACCAGACCAGAGCACCCGCCAACCACCTGCAAACACACATTACAACGATAGATGTTTTTATAGGAAATAAAGAGAAAACCAGACCAGAGCACCCGCCAACCACCTGCAAACACACATTACAACGATAGATGTTTTTATAGGAAATAAAGAGAAAACCAGACCAGAGCACCCGCCAACCACCTGCAAACACACATTACAACGATAGATGTTTTTATAGGAAATAAAGAGAAAACCAGACCAGAGCACCCGCCAACCACCTGCAAACACACATTACAACGATAGATGTTTTTATAGGAAATAAAGAGAAAACCAGACCAGAGCACCCGCCAACCACCTGCAAACACACATTACAACGATAGATGTTTTTATAGGAAATAAAGAGAAAACCAGACCAGAGCACCCGCCAACCACCTGCAAACACACATTACAACGATAGATGTTTTTATAGGAAATAAAGAGAAAACCAGACCAGAGCACCCGCCAACCACCTGCAAACACACATTACAACGATAGATGTTTTTATAGGAAATAAAGAGAAAACCAGACCAGAGCACCCGCCAACCACCTGCAAACACACATTACAACGATAGATGTTTTTATAGGAAATAAAGAGAAAACCAGACCAGAGCACCCGCCAACCACCTGCAAACACACAGGGTCCCACCTTGGCCATGATGGAGGATTTTGCGGCTTTCCAGGACCTGTCTTTGGGAATGTTTCCGCCCGGAGCTAACAGCACCATGACTGCGGCTGCCACATTGGTCACAGCAGCGGGCGGGGACCCGAAAGATTTCAACTCGGTCAGGTTGTTCTGGGGAAATCAAGAGGAAAAACAAAACAATTTTGGTTTTTGACACAACACATACTTTGTTAACTCTTAAAAAACAAAATACGGACTCTACCATCATGGTGGGTCAAGGCGGTGGGCATTGGCCAAGTAGCCCCTCTCTAAACCCATCACACATACTTTTTTGTCTCAAAGTAGACCTGCAGCAAAACATCTCTCCAATTAGCTCACAGGCTTTTTTCTCACAAATCCAGCCTTAAAGGTTCAAAATATTTCTTCAACATTATCAAATCCATGAGAAATAATACTAGAAAACAGAATACGTATTATCTGATACGAAAACGAACTTCCATACTCAGGCCCTAAAAAACGTTTCAAATCTTTTTTTGTGTACTGGCTGGCAGCTATGACAATACAACACTAGCCTCTGTGGAAATTCACATGCAAAAAATTATTATCAGTTTTATTTCCCAATGCATATGTCATACACTTACTACTATAAAGTTTTGCTATGGATAAGCTTTTATTTCCCCTGTTAGCAAATCTGTCAAGGCTGAAATCTACCTTAAGAAGAAACCTGTGATGGCAAAAACTAATTGTAGTTTTAATATTTGTAAGCACCCACTGCAAGCATTATTCTTTCTCCACACCATTATCTCCAAAGCTTTTCAAATTTAAGAAAGACCCCGAGCCAACACATTCAGCATCCACAAAATACTAAATCTCTGGCAAGGTAAAGTTCAGCTCTTTACATAACATTTCCCTCATGAATCATTCATTATAGCATCAGCAAGATGTTGAACCCCAGAGAAAAAAACAGTCTACTTTTTTTGCAACATCTCCCTATGACGCAAATCTTATAATAAAATCCAAAAGATAATTTAAGCCCTGAGGAAATGTGTGAACGCCAGCTCTTTAGACAATATTTCCCCTATGAAGCACACATCATAGAATCAGCAAGATATTGAACCCCAGAAAAAAAGAAGGCCTACTTATTTCACAACATTTTCGTATGACGCATACCATATCATCATTAAAATCCGCAAAATATTTACGCTCAGAGAAAGTGAAAGTCAGCTCTTTACACAGTATTTTTCCCATGAAGCAAACCTTATAGCATCCGCAAGATATTGAACCCTAGACAAGAAGAAGAAGGTCTACTCTTTTCACAACATTCCCCTATGATGTAAACCTCGTCATAATCATAGCATCCACAAAATATTTAAGCCCAGAGAAATGGAAAGTCAGTTTTTTTACACAATACTTTTCCCATGAAGCAAATATTACAGCATCCACAAGATATGGAACCCCAGACAAGAAGAAGAAGAAGACGACGGCCTACTTTTTCCACAACATTCTCCAATGATACGAACCTTATTTAGAGTGTTGAGAGCATCTTTAGCGGCCAGCAAGGCGGGTTCTGCTTTGGCGAGATCTCTCTGACAGTCCGAGGCCTTCTGCTCCACCTCCACAGTGATCAGAGAGACTTTCTCCTCCTCCACGTCCGCTACGGCTTTCTCCTTCATCACTTTCTCCGTCTCCGCACTGACCACGGTGATCAGGTCATTGGCCTCTTTGTTTTTGGCCGCCAGCTCCACTTCCTGGGAGGCCAGCTTGGACTTGAGGTCATCCACCTGAAGAGGAAAGAGTAAACGATACGAGCGAATGAATTAATGAACGAACCAATAAAATGAATGAAAGAATGAAAACTTTAAGAGACTTCTTCCTAGACATGTAGGCATTGTTGCTTCTGATATTGTTGCTGAAAAAGGTGTGTTCTTTCTCTGTCTCTCATTGGATCTCCTTTCCCTCCATCTCTCCACCCATCCCTCCCTGCCCACCTACTGTTCCCTGTCCATTCACCCCCCCTCCCCTCCATTTATCCCTTCCATATATCATATCTCTCTCTCTCTCTCTCTCTCTCTTACACACACACATACATTTTTCCTTCCCTACTGCTACACTCCCCGCCCCCTCTCAAAGTCTCTCGTTATTGGCTCTTTTCAGTGGCCAATTCATTCCATGTTGCTATTTCGATCCATTACAGAAAAACAGAATTGCTCCTAATTCAGCACCTATGTTATATGCCTTATTATTCATTCAAAGAGGATACTGAAAATATCATATTTTCGTCACTATTAACCCATTCATATTCTTTACTAAGCAGCACTACTACCATACTCTCACAGCTTATCTCCTTCTTCTCATCTTTTGCAGCTGTTGGATGTTGCTTCCAGGATCTTTCTGTAATAAAACAATCTGTCCCTTATCATTCTGTCTTCCTGAGCTGTTTTGGTTCCAAGCCAGGTTTCTACGTCACGTTCCCATCTTCTGTTTGGTCTCCCCCTTCCTCTCTTGCCTTCTACCTTTGCATCCAGAAGATGTTTCTCGAGTGAATAATAGAGCTTGACGTGCCTAAAGTTGTTCAATTTGTTGTTGGTCTCGTTGTTAGCGATCCAGTAGCTTCTGAGCGTCAACTCTTCTGCATGATGCCATTCGGTAATAGCTGCATCTGTTCTAATAGTTGTCTTGAAGAGTAGAGGCAGTTAGATGAGTGGGGTAGTTTGGGAAGAAAACATCTCCTCAAATCAAAGTAGTTCAATTTATATTTACAAAAAATTATTCAACTCCTAACAAATTCCACAAAACACACCTGAGTGGCTGTGCTGCGGAGTTTTTCTAACCCGTTCTCTAGACGAATGATGCTGGCCTGCAACTCCTCGTTCTTCTTGCGCAGCAGGTTCTGATACAGCGTGATCTGCTCCAGGAAAGACTTGGGCGTGGTGTAGTTGTACCGGTGCTCATTGGACAGGTAAGCCAGACTTGCCTCGTTCACAGATTTGTGAACAAAGGCCATGAACTGTGCTATCGACTTGCGCATGTCTGCCTGTAGGAGTGAGGCCAGAGGAAAGAACAAAAATTACTTTGTATGGAGTCTGCGCAGAAGTGCAGTCACACAGTGGAGATTTAGAGCTGGGGAAAAAACAAAAACAAGACCGATACAAGATAAAGTATAATTTATCATTACTATTATCATTATCATAATCATCATTATTATTATTATTATCATTATTACTAAAATTATTATTATTATCATTATTATTATTATTATCATTATTACTATTTTCAATATTATTATGATTATTATTGATGATGCTATTATTATTATCCTTATCATTATTACTATTATTAATATTACTATTACGATTATTATTGTTGTTGTTGTCGTTATTATTTTTATGATTATTAATATCATTATTCATTACAAGAGACACAGACAAACAGGAAGTTCTGCGCCTCACCTCCAGTAGTTCGTTGTCCCCGAGGAACCTGGCACTGACAGACACCAGAGCCTGCTCCGGCCACTCGTGGAACCAGTCGATAGACGTGCAGTTGGTCACCGCCGGGAACTTGCGACTGCGCACTCTGAGAGTGGAGCCCACCGGTGAGAAGCACAGGACCACCTGGGGAGTGTTGTCTTAGTTTTAGTAGAGGTTTTACGGCACTTGCAACTGCATAAGGTCATATGAGTGTAAAGGGGTGGATGTCAACGGAGAAGTCCTTACAGGGAATCAGACTTACTCTGCTCACCTCTCTAGCTTCGTCAGCACAAAGTCTGCTTCGACTTTCAAGGCACCCCGGAAATAGCGGGTCACAAGAGTGTGACAAACATACAAAAGAAGTAGAGGAAAAATGATGATAGTAAGGACTAGGAAAGAAAAAGCAGCAGTTCCCTGTTGTAGTTCAGGCACAGTTATGAGCATGACATTGTTAGATCAGCCCATTTACAATACTGTGCACTAGAACGAGAAATGTCCCCCCTTTGGGAATGGCCTAAAGACACTTCAGTCAGTGGCACCGCCCCGGGGGGTGTAGAGGTTTTACGGCACTCACAACTGCATAAGGTCATATGAGCGCCAGAAGATTAGAGTTGTTACAAGAGAGAAGAAGGGGAGATCCACAGCTTGAACTGTATGCTTCCCGAGAGTAGAGATTGTTTCGGAGTACTGTCCTAAGGTCTGCTGGAGTAATAATGGTTGCAAAGCGCATGGAGCATGCTGTAGAGTGTTTGGGTGCATCTTCATCCATCTCTCTATCGTGTACACCTGCAAACTGCTTTCCTCATCCCCATCTCCTTTCCCCTTCTCTAACATTATCAAGTATAGATCCAGTTTATTACCCTTACTTTTTTATCTTTTCTACAGCCCCTATAAGAGCTATTTAAGCATGAAAAGGGAGGGAGGAAAAAAGTCATGTTGAGTTTTCTTTCTACATTTGTAGTCTGGTCCCCAAAAAGTCTTACAAAATGACATGTGACCTGTGGCTGAAGACAGGTGTACACCCCTGGCTTAGAGGTAAGATGGTTGCCTCTCACCAACAAGCACTCTATGCAGTTCAGGTTTCATTCAAACCCTATCAGTGAGTCATCCCAAATTTTCCCCAAAGAACATGAAATTTATAACACAGCTAAGACTCTGTATTTCCTTACATTTGCCCCATGTCTTTAAGTAAAACAACTAAAATAAGTCAATATTATCAGGTATATTGTCTTAAATTTGGAGTAAGACACATCTTCCTACAGTGCCCAATTTGTTTAAAAATAATAGTGACAGTTTAGAATGTTAATATTCATTCTCAATGAAGGCTCATTAACTTCACAATAACTCTTTTGGCAGGCACACATATTTTTCACTTTTCTAAATATCAATTCCCAAGAGAACATATACAGCATGACAGCCTTCATAGCTTCTCAAATTTCCTTTTTGCTCCTGGTCAAGAGCAGACATAATATAATAATTTCAAATCACAAAAAATAAATTTCCCTACTCAAGGGATACATATTACCTGACCCAACCTTGAATAAAAGCCACAATTTTGATATAGCATGTGGGACATCTTAATTAAAAATTTCATCATGAGGACACCTATAGCACAAACAACAATCCAAGACAAAAAAAGTACGACTTACTTTGAGATTTCTCCGCACTTTATCAATAAACAGGGCCCAGGCGTTCTCTCGTGTGTCTGGGATTCCGACCTGTTTGCATTCATTGAGCATCGCACTGAGGATTTCCTCAACCTCATCATCGCCGAAGAGGTCGGCAATTTCTCCAGAGGCCAGGAGATCGTTGATGAGCACCAGGAAGATTTCGTTGGCAACTTGTGCGTCCGACATGAGGAAGACCACACCCAGCCCTATCCAGAGAGGCCAAATGGAGAGAAATTTAGCTTATTTGCTACTTTGCTTATTTTCATGTGTTGAAGAGCTATATATATAATATATAACTGCATTGACATGATTGAGGGGAAAAGACAGGAGATGGACAGAAATGAGAAGGCCATTCTGAAGAAAAAAAACTGGTAGTAATGCCCAAAAGGCATAAGATATTTGAAGTCATTTCCTAAATTTGGGGTACAGTAGTCTCCACTAAAGATTCCCATACTAGGGAGCAAGGAAAATGTGGGATCCAAGGTGAATGGGATCTTGTCCAAATCATCAAGAGGAAGAATGCACAGTTGCCCATGGCCAGGCCCGCAATTGGGAAAATGTCCTCCCCTTACTTTGACATGCCCAGGTTTTTGTAGAGTAAATTATGATCTGGATTGCGGGATCTTAGCCAACTATAGCCCTTCATAGCTGGATCTTAAGGATGATTTAAGTGTGATACAAACCCTGCTTTCTTAAACCAGCAGGATCTTAAGAGAACTGGGATCATATTCAAGCGGAGACTACTGTATCAGAAACAATTGTTTTAATTTCGGTCTCTGTTTATGTCTTGAAGACACAGGGTCTACAAAGAATTATAGACAGAAATCTTTAACACTGAAAACAAGAAAGACAGCTACAAAAATTTTTTTAAAGAAATACGAAAATACAGCAAGCAAAAGGGCTCTCAACATTACCTTTCAGTCCTGATTTCCTGTAAAGTCCATTCAAGTCTGCCTTCAAGTCTGGAATGCCATACTGCTTGCTGAGGGTAATCTACCAAATTTTATAAAAGAAACATTTAGAGATGGTATATCAATTCAAAATAAATTTGAAAATGACATTTAGTGGAAAGAAAAAAAGAAACCCAAATATACCAACAATACTAACACCCAAAAGTACATGTTGTTTAGGATATTAAGATTAAGCTATTATTATTATGTCTTCACTCAAATTAGTCAAGACATCTTTCTCTTTCTTTGTTTCTCTTTTGCTTCTTTGAATATCCTTCGTTGGCCCCTAATAGTAGCAAGTGTATACTGAATCTATCCTTTCGGATTAGAAAAGTAGAAAATCCTTTCCTTGTTTCCTCTTTGGAATGTTTGAAACTTTGTACTGTGCCATGTTCATTTCAATCCTGAGATCAAACTTTGGGTAATCCAATTTGAACCAAATACATTGAAGAAGAGAAGAACTGCAAAAGGTACCAGCGGAAAGCTAGACAGAATATATTAAAACACTTAAGTCAGAGAGACAGAAAGGAAGGCGGCTCAGAGTTGAATTGTATTTAAATATAATCTTTATCAAGTCAGAAGAATGACAACCATTTATTCACCAGGAGCAGATTGGAACAGTATGATCAATAAATGAAAGAAGAAGGAGTAGACAATATCAGATAGCCCAGTAACTAGCGACAGAGTTGAGAGAAAAGAGAAGAGAAGAGCAAACTAAAAACAGTGGGTAACTATAAACAAGACTATTGACTTACTGTGTTCATTTGCCAAGATTTCCCCATACTCCATTCAAACATTCTCTGAACTTAATTTTTCTACTCACAAGGACTGATTCCTGTAAATAGGCTGAAATATCATTAAAGCAAGTAAATCACGGCTATTGAGCCCTGGCTCATACAAACCTGAAAGACGTCAAGACCACTGATAAATGCAGCCAGCCGAGACAAGGACTGTTTTCCACTGCCCCCCACCCCGATGAGGAGAGCATTGCCACGCGGTGACTCCAAAATTCGGTTGATCCGGCAGATATGCGACATGGCATCCTCGAAGAGGACGAGGTTCATGCTGGCGTTGAGCTCGTTGTAACTGTCCAGGGCATCAGAGAGGAGCTTGTTCAGCAGTGGCCACTCTTTGATGAAATCGTAAGTGCCGTCTCCCATTCCAACGGCAAAGTGGCAACATATCAAGGGCCTGGCTTGAATCACTTCTTCTTTTTGTTCCTGATGAAGAGTAGATTTCAAATCGCTAGACGTATTTTGTTAGCCCATGAAATTTATAGGATATCTACTATGTACAAGATACCCATGGCCAAGTCTTACAAATTTTCACAACAATAAATTTTTTTAAGATCATTTCATCTCAGTATGGCGGTGAATAGGATGATAAAAGGATAAATATATCAGGATGTTTCTACAAATCTCATATGCACTCACACCATATTACGTTCTCTCTCTTTCTCTCGCTTTTCTCTCTCTCTCTTTTCTCTCTCTCTCTTTCTCTCTCTCTGTAACCCCCAGAGCTATAAAGTATACAGTTACTTTGATTTTTTTTTTCTAAACACAATATTTGATGGACACAATTTCCACATTTTTATCTTGATGCAGGTACTGAAATTATTATAAAAATACAAATATGTGAGTTGGTTTTACAAATACAGTCAATCTGTCATACATTTTATTTAACTTTTATGTCAAAATTTAGAAACATCAAACCATCCACAATTTTCACAACAGCTGCAATTGTCATATTAACATATAGGAAAGATCTTTACATGGAAAAAAGGAAGTACAAGAAAGCATTCAAACCTCAAAGAATTTCTTCAGTATTTCCACTTGGTACTTGTCGTAAAGGGCCAGGTCTGTCTCATCCACTAGCTTGTCTCTGTAGACCCTCTCTGCCTCGTGGAAGTATAGCCTCACCAACATGGCTGTGGTCTTACAACATTCCGCGTTCGCAAACAGCATGCCCTGAGGACAAGAAATAATTAAAACGTGTAAAGATGTGCATGGTAAAAGGTGTTGCAATGTATTGAAATGAGACGTACATTCAAAGCTGTAGATACAATTGTCTTGTTCATATCAAAACACTTTGTGTTCATATGAATTTACAAAAGCGTGTTCAATTTTGTATTTGTCTCTTTGTTCTACAGCCTTAAGTTCACAAACCAAGCAGGCTAAAGACATATATTTTTCCCGACTCCTCTTGCAGAATAACCCTAGTGCTGAAGTGGATAAGACAAATGTATCCACGAAGGAGACAGGATCAGATTAAATTTGGATAATTCTACGATCATATAATTAGTACTTTCTTTTAATGGAAAACAACTCTTTTTTCTTTTAAACCTAACCATATTATTGTAACAAGTGCAAATAGAAAAAAAAAAGCAATTTCAACAATTCACTCCCAAGGGAATTCCTTACTTGGAAAATATTTGACATGTCGCGCAGGTTGAAGATGTAATGGAATTTAATGGCCGTGGGCAAGAAACTGGACGTCATCTTGGACTGTAGAGCGATGGCCCCTTGGACCAGGTTGTTGCAATATCTCTGCAGGCTGATACTGTAGTTGTTGAGAATCATGTGCTGGCTGAGAATGTTGCTGTAGATTGCCGCTAGGGCGTCCTTGGTGGGCAGACTCAAGGCAAACACACAGAAGTGACGCTGTGGGGGATGCAATACGATCAATGTAAAAATAGTAGCTATAATTTAATATTGATAATCATTACAAGAAACTTAAGACTATTTATAGCACCAATTATGATGATGATGATGATGATGATGATGATATTAATAATAATAATAGTAACAATAATAATAATGATAATAATAATGATGATAATGAAAAAGATGATGATGATAATGATGTGATGATGATGATAATTATGACAACAGTAATAGTAACGAAACAAAATTCAAAACAATATAATAATAATAATAATATTAATAATAATAATAATAATAACAACAACAACAATAACATCTGCATGTTCCCAAGCTGCTCTACAATGCCAAAAGTATCACTAGAACTTCCACTTTTTTTAGTCTAAGAAACATGCCAATTTTCCTAGATATTTGACATATGACGTTTGGGCCTTTTGCTTTCAAAATACACAGAAAACATGTGATTCTGGAATGCGATGAGATATGCGACCACCATTTTCATCAAATTCTCCCATTTGTGACCTAGAAATTCAAACACACTTGACCCTGGAGAACTTTTTAATTGTACTAATAACATGGTAGCTTTTGACCCTCCAAGAGGGAAAAATCTGGCTACCCTAAAATGTTTCAAACCATATCAAAATGGGACTTGAAGAAATTTTCTGCAGTGTGCGCCAGGTACCACCTGCAATCTGGCGTCGATTGTGAAGCTTCCAGCAGTGGGGTTCATGCAGGACACAAACTGGACGTTGTGGATTTCTTTCAGAGAGAGCTTCTGTCGATCGTACCAGTGGGCGTGGTCAATGCAGGCTCGCACCAAGGTGTGGGGCTGCACAGTGAAGTACTTGTCCACCTGAAATTGCAGTTGATTTGATTTAACACTTTGCAGTCACTTGCCGCAATAATGCGATGGTGAAAATTATCCGTTCCCGTCACTTTACCCTGTTTGCAACAGGCCCGAGAAGTCCGTTGCTGTCAATCTCCTGGCTGGGTGACCAGATGGGATATTTTGTACTGTTGGCTGTGTGACCGAAAAGTGGTCCCGCCGCTTTCAACTTTGTAATGTTGTTTAAGAGGTGGGACCTCTGAATTTAAAGTCTATCTTTGATAGGACCGAGCCAAATAGGAAAATTTGTGTACAGTGTCTTTCCCAAGGACAAAATGTCGGACAGAGCTGAGCCTCAAACCTCCAAATCCTCAAACCCACAATCTCAGGAGTATGAGTCCAGTAGCCTAACAAATAGACTACCGATGCCACCCTTATCCATCTGGACAAACAGGGCTCTCATTGTTATCAGTTATGAAGCAAACCCATTTAATCTAGAAACAAATGTCTCGATACAAGTATCAACTGAGAGACGGGGTAGACAGCATGGTTATAAAGACCACTCGTCTTTTTCTAGCATTTTAGCGAGCATCCAATGTATAATACAGGCACCTCATTGCTACACACTAACCATCATGAAACCTATAATATTCAAAATTCTGAGTAACATACACTAGTTGGTAATGATCAGCATGCCGGACATCAAGTAATAAAATGTTTCCAGATCTGAGGGACGATTTTAGAATTATAGGTTCTGTCTGCTGAAATAAAATGCAAATAACACGAGACAAAAATAATTAACTGACAATAACTATGATATACAAATCAACAGACAGGCACACAAAGTTGACTTGCAAATACACTTCAACTTGTTTGTAAACTGGGGGAGTGCCCATACCATCTTTCAACAACTCTTGCTTTTCTGAGGGAAATGTATGAATATTTTACAGCTTGTTACCTAACAGCAAGACATTTTGTCCTCCTGATGTTGTTGTTATCAATTAGGGCAACCCTCGCCCTTCTGTCCAATGCCATGTAGTGATAAATGCAGGTTCGCTGCAGTTGCTGTAATGTTCCATAGAGTTTGTTATCTATGTTAGGTCTTAGAGGGAGAAGTATAGTCCAGACTGATGTCATTTAGGACAGTGCAGTGGAACAGGTGATGATCCATAGTCCTACATTGCATAGTCTCCTGATAAATCCTTGCATTGTCCTTTAACTAGGTACATCCCCCCCCCTCCCGACAACTCCAAACTTACCTCTGGCATGTTCATGTCGTCAATGAAATAGACCAGCTTCCTCGTGCCTGGCGGGCCATAGTTGCGACCTGCCTTCTTTTCCAGCGGCTTCTCTAGAATGTTCTGAAGCATAGCACTAGTGGTGTAGAAATTGAACGGCACATTGGCAATTATGTAGTCTTCACCCAGATACTTGAGTTTATTCTGCATCAATACAGTCTTTCCTGTCCCCGCAGCCCCAACCAGCATCACCGGTCGACGATTGGCAACTAGCATGTCGAGGAAGAAACGGAGCCTGTGGGTCTCCGCTGTGTGGACAATAGTGGCCTGGAGATACCAAAGACATGCGTCACATGTAAGTGTTAGTTTTAGTTTCCAGAAATTCTGACTGCAGCAACAACAAGGAAATTGATGATCCACGATTTGTTGATTAAAATTCTGTCTTTTTACATCTTTAAAATCAAATTTTCAAAAATATATTTTAAAAATAAATAGTACATTTTTAAAAATGCACCCCATCAACATAATTTAGATGATTTAGAAGGCGAGCTTCCACCCTGACTGAGAAGGGTACAACATTCCAACAGAAAGGCCAAGATACTTGATAAAATAAAAAATCTCCCCACATGGGAATCAAACACAGGTCTTCTGTGTGCAACGGCGAAGCACCTTACTGACTGTAACACACAGAACTGATCATTTCCACCGGTGCATTAATGCGCCAAGTGACTACAAAGTGTTAAGAAACACAATACCCATCAGCAATAATGATAGCATCTTGTACCTGCAGTGGGACATCTGGATCATACTCAAACTCGGGCACCAGTTGTGTCCATGGTTTGAAACTGTGAGAGGCCGGGTCAATGTAGTAGTCAAAGACAGTGCCGTGGGAGGGGAATTTGACAGTCTTGTACTCCATGACCCACCACTTGGTGAAGTCCACTCGGTGGTCACAGAGCTTTGAAGGAAAAGGTCAAATTAAAATTTATACTGGTTAAAAAGGAATAAAGAAAAATTTAAGACAATTAAAGATTCAAATTTAAACAAACTGGGATCATATGTCACCCAAAATTCATGATTTCAAAAAAGCGTAATATTTCTTGCTAAATCTTTCACATTCTTGGAAAGAAGTAAATTTTGCTAACTGCTTTGGAAAAAAAAAGTATCCTATTATAAAGCCAGCCTCCCTGTAGCTGTTTGACTAAACCAAATTAAATGTTTTTGCTGCTCTTTAAAATTGGTAAAATTTACTCTTCTGGGGTTACCCTGTTGGAACAGAAAATTAAAGTTCAAAACTGTAACTTTGAGAAAAATTACGCTTTTCATTTTTTTAAAACAAATAAATCAAACCCAGAAACATTTGGAGGAACAATGTATTCCAGATGTAGAAAACACTGCATTTTGGCCCTGGCATAATCCTAAGCTTTCCCAACCACCAAAACGCATAATCGTCATTTTTTTATGACTCAAGTTGCTAACATTATCCACTGCATTGGTGTGATTCTCAAAATCAATTCAAGATAGTGACATTTCTGAGGATAGCAACCTCTAGTTTCATCCCAATGAAAATTGGTATAAATTATCTTAGTATACCGGGTATAGTATTTATAGCAAATTCAAATAAAATCACCCAAAAAAGCTATAACTAAATATTAAAGAAAAACTACCTTCGGGTCCCACTCTACCATCTCTGCCTCCCCTTCCCATCCCCCCTCCTTCCACTTTATGTATCCACCAGAAAAGAAATCTTACCTGATCCTGAAACATACACCCTCCAAACGCCCATACGCAACAAAAGACGAAATACAACTCGTAGAGATCTTTTGGCGAGTCAGGAGGCACGTTATCCGGCACTATCAAACACTCCAGTAAGTAGGTCAACATGTGCACATGTGCAATTTCCTGAATGGGAGTGATTTTCTTGAAGCGCAGTCTGAGTGTATCCAAAATAGAGGACACGTATTTGTCAAACAGAATGGTCAGGTTTGCTTTCTCAGACTGGACCTCACGTCGGTCGACCCAGCTCTGGACGTACCTGAAGACAACAACAACAAAAAAGTAACCACAAATTTATGACGGCTCCAGTAAAAACTTTTAACTCTTTAAGCCCTGAATTTTTTCCATCGTTTTACTGAGTTTTTTTTCTAGTCACCTAAACCTAGTGCACTATGTCTCATTATAACCCCAAAAGCTTGCCTCCAACTTCTAAATAGCGTAAACAAAGGCTTAGTAATTACTAAATAAAACTTGGTTCGGGAATAGTTCCCAAAAACAAGCAAAAACTAGCACTAAATAAAACAAAATAGTTGTCACTAGTACTGGACGCTCCCATCATCCGATGGGGATCAAAGAGTTAAACTACATAAAGGGAAAAAGAAATCTCAAATTTTCCTTCTCTTCTACAATTAACTTTCTGGTGACAATGAACAAGATTTTAACACCAAACTGAAAAAATGTTAACGTACATGATAGGACGGAACAAGGTGAAAGTTACAACTGAGATAAACACTACTGATACAATAATAAGTAAAGTCATAGCCAAAAACTTACGGATTCCATCCAAGGTCATTTGGATTGATGTAGAGGATGCCTGCCCGGGAGACTGTGGCTGGGGTGGCCGTTCTCAAGTTGCTGATCTCAAACAGCAGTCTCATGGCAGGGGTCATGGTGATGCGTTCATTGCTGGCTAATGTCAGGACCTGCAGAGTTGCATTTTCGTTCGTTTAAATTTGTAAAGTTAAAGAGTTTCACTTAGAAAGAGTTTTACCTCACTTGTGATACTAATAGGTCATACAAATGCTGAAGATTTAGAGGTGTTACAAGAGAGTAACATGCAAAGAAAAAAAAGAGAGATAAGGAATGGTTCTCAAGTCAGGAAGAACATGACGCAATACTCTCCAATCGTTACTGGGGAAAAAACCCAAATGTAAGACATACAGACACTGACAAAAGAGGGATAGTAAAGAAGTAATACCTATCAGTGATATTCTCTAACCACCCAAGATAGTGTGAGCATACAAATAAATGTTTGTTTATAACGAATAAAGAGGGACAGAGTAGTTCATGGGGAAAATGACAATAACTCATGAGCTCCCAACGTACCCTTAAAAAGAAAAGGTTTTGTCTTCATATTAAGGAAAAACTATGTTACATAACTACAGACTATTTTTAACAGCCTTTGTGATCATCTGTTGCATTTCATACTGATTACAAAAGCTATTGCCGTTTTACAGAAAAGAAACATAGTTGCTGGCTAAAAAAGTTCTGAAGCTATAAAATATCAATCATCAATTTATCAAAATTATATGGTACAGTGCTTAAACATCACCATTCTAAAGGCCTATTCAGCCACAGCTAGGATGGATTCAAGTACAGTCAAACCTGCTCAAACAGCCACCTGTCCAAGACAATCACTTGAACTGTACAAACAAATGACCAATTCCTATTTCCTCATATAGCCTACTTTTTTAAATTATTTCATAATGACACTATTCAAGACATCCACCCTGTCTAAGACAGCTGCTTTTCTCCTCAACAACAGGTGACCATCTTAGACATTATCAATAGTACCTTGTTGTCATCCATGACAGTGTTGAGAGACTCGATCCACATCGGATCAATGTCCCCATCCAGGACGATCCACTTAGGGCCGTCACCGCTCATGTTGGCCAGGTCTCTCATCACCACCGAAAATAGACCTAGCCAGGGATGAGGTGGGTTCTTAGTTCAGTTTTTGTTTAGTTTACCTAAGCTTACATTAGCTTTGCTTAGCTTAATTAGCTTAGCTTAGCCTAGCTTAGCTTAGGTTAGTATAGTTTAGTTTAGTTTAGTTTAGTTTAGTTTAGATTAGTTTAGTAAGAATTCTAAGACAGTGGCAACACAAATAGTTCATATAAATGTCGAAGATTAGAAGAAATACTAGACATTAACATACAATGAAAAGGAGGAGCTATGGACAGTAGGTGTTTGATAGGAAATAAGGAGAAAACCAAACAAGAGCATCTGTAGGCCACCCATGAGATAGGTTTAATTCAAGACTTGGACACAGACAGATCATTTAGGAGAACAACTGATCTTTTTATGGTAACATAGTTTAAGAAGAGATCTCATTGTATAGAACACACAGACAGCTAAAGATCTTGTCAGTTTGTTAATGTTTGAACGTTTAATCAGCTGCCTCCACTGTATGCTTCCTGGGAAGCCAACAATGTTTCTGAGTGTTCTAGGGTCTGCCGGGGTAATAATACAAATTGTAAAGCCTATATAGAGCTTGATGTTAACTGGGGATACGAGCGATACGTAGGCCATTTATTTTTATTTATTATAAAGTATTCACATATTTTGCCTCCTCTGCACTGATTTGCAGCACATAAATATTCTGTAAAAAAAGTTAATACAAAATTATCATCCTTTTCTCATTTTGACTTCAAATTCAAATATGCTATGCATACAATATTCCTTGTATCAGACTCATGAAAGCAAGAAATCATTTTCCGCATTTATGTAGAAAATTGGCACCTCTGATGAAAAAGACTATATATATATAGATACTGTAAGATGAAGACCTTACAGTCAGTTTACTCCCTGAGCTCTGACTTGGGTACGAGAAGAAGTTTAGTTTTAGTAGAGGTTTTACGTCGCTCGCAACTGCATAAGGTCACATGAGCGCCAGAAGATTACTACAGACGTTACAAGAGCGTAACAAACATAAAAACGAAGAAGGGAAGATAAGAACAATAGATGTTTGATAGGAAGAAGAAGCAAACCACACCAGAGCACCCGCCAACCACCCACGTACTAGAAGAAGGACTTTATTACTATATAGATGAAACATTACCATCCTTCCATTCACGAGTGGCTGGGCTGATCACTCCGAAAAGTTCATCATTTGTGACAGACTTTGGGTCCAGGTCAATAGCTGTCGGCTTCTTTCCCAGAATTTTATTTGTCGTTTTCAGTGTGTTCCAAACACAGCTTTTCCCTGTCCCAGCATTTCCCAGAATGAAAACCGAATGGCGTACGTCAAAGAGCTCTTGCAGTTGTACAACCTGTCCAACGGACAATTTTCATGCAATGCATAAAAGTGACAGAAATTTTATTGACTAAGATACATTTCTAAAACAAGAATTCATACATTAAAAAAAATAAGAAACACAAAGACAGAAGTGATGGAAACGTATATTTCAAATAGGGAGTTCAATTGACAAAACAAGACAATCAAATAGACTGCTCATGTGTGTAAGTGCACATACACACCTTTCCCCTCTCTTAGCCGGCTCAGGTGGCCGGCGAGTGCAGGTGAGAGGCCCCCCCCCCCCCCATCCCCTTTCCAAAAACGCAAACACATACACATGCACACACATGATAATAACGAATAAACATATCCACAAAGAACTCACACATATATACAGATATTTGCATGACAAAGTAATAGTTATAGCATTTGAAATGAAAATGATTAAGAGACAAAACACAAAAGTGAAAAAGAACCAAGTCCTATTAACTATATCGGCCGACTATTCACACACCAGTGACTTAGCTTGCAAAGCTCATGTGAAACGCATTTTGACATACACAGTGCTTTACAAACAAAGACATGGCAAATCATAACAGCAGTATCACTGTGACCCTTTCACCTTTAAGATAAAGTTGTCCTCAGCCTGAAGCTTCTGCTGCAATGTGGCATTCTTTATGTGGCCCTCAAACTCCAAGTCTCGTTTCCGCGGCACATCAAGCGCCGGAAACAGATCGCCTATAAGTCCCATGAACACTGGCATGTCGTCCATCACAATCTTTGGGATGTTAAAATCCCGCAAGGCCCTCATGAGGACCTGAAATAATTCAACATCCACAAGTCTTGGCATGATGTGTCTCCAAAAAATGCAAGGTATACAACAAAGTATATAGCGAGACAACAGCAGATGTTGTTCACAAAGAAAATAAAAGACTTGAATTTTTTTTCAAAAATGAAATATCTTGCAAATCTCATTTCAAGACAAAGCATATGGTAGAGTTGAACAAGAAAAAGTAAGGATACATACCTAGCATATAAACTGAATTGCAAAGGTAGTTGGAGTTAAAAACACACACTAAAGGAAGATATGTCATGGAATAAAACCAAGCCGTTTAAGGACCAAGGCCATGGGACATTGGGAGAAAACCCCTATTCACTTCACAATTGTCACATCATAATCACAATGTCACTATGGAAAGAAAAAATGGTCGCTTTTAAGCACAAGGGGGCTATCCTGAAAAATGCGGTTTTGAGAAAATCGAATTTAAAGTTTTTGCCCCTTGTTCAGTTTCTTTAAAAGACAAGGAGAGTTTTCTCTATATAATATAACCAAACAACTATTCACACCAATGAAACCAAACTTCTCCTATAGGTAGGGCAATACCCACTTTTGGGGTAGATCAGGATTTCTGGAAACCCCCGAAATCTGGGTTAGCCCGCTTGTCCTTAAAAGCGACCAAATGAGAGAATACCCATCAACACAATTAGATTATTCAGAAGGTGGGCTTTGACTCCATCCACGAACTTGGGTCTTCTGCAGGAGACTGCAAAGTGTCTAATCATGATGCCACAGATAAAGCTGTTTTTGTTACCCAAGCATCCAAATACACTGAAATGTAGAACAAGATAAGAAACCTACCTGGTCTTCAGGCCTTTCTCTGTCTCCTCTCTTGAGGGATCCAGCCACCACCAGGACAGACTTGATGGCTCTCAGACCCCAGTCATAATGGTCCTGTCAGGTCAGATTATAAAAGGAAAGAAACTTCATCCATACCTGACCCCAAACTCACCACACAAAAAATTTCTCCAAAGTTGAGCCTCCTGAAATTCATACAGTTTGTCTCTCTAGCATGTTTTTTCTTTTTTCTCTCTCTTTCCTCCTTAATACAGGTTTCAGCTTCTATTAGTTAAGACTCAAAATTTGACACATAGAGCTTCCAGTCTATGTCAGTGACCTTTTTTGATTCAAGATAGCACATCAACACAATAAAGATCTTCAGAACTGGGAAAGTGCAAGGAAGATAAGAACAAAAGAGGTAAAGAAAAGTAGAACTTTCCAGCGGCACCCTCCGATCACCCACTGAGTGTCCTCCTGTGCTGGTGACGGAGACAACATACCTGTTTGGACAGCAGCTCCTTGCACAGACTGTACAGGGTGATGAACTTCCTCGCCAGCAGTCTGGCGATAAGAAAGCCTTCTGCCACCAACATGATTTCACAGATCAGTTCAAAATCTGGAACTACCATGGCACAGGGTCTGCAAGGATGCAAGATTGCAGTGAGCAAAGCGTCATACACTTCTTGATACATCATTAACGAATAAAAAGAAATCCTAGAACTTACCCACAGTGAACTGATATAAGTCGTAATAAAATTATGAATCATACATCACGAGACAGAAAAAATTATTTTCTCTACAAACGAAGGATGCAAGACAAATTTATCTGTGGGTCAAATTCACAGCTAAGACATCACAATCAAACTGTTACTAAAGACCATGTTTTTGTAAGATTTGACAAAAAGGTTGAGTAAACATATGAAAGGAATCACAAGTTGATTAGAGTGCTGCAGATTATCTAACATCGTGATCACATCTAGATTCCTCCTCTCTCAAAATCCTTATTTTGGGGAGTTTTTTAGCTCCTTTAATACTTTCTGCTTTTTTCTCTAAGTTGCAGCACTATTCTGACTTTGATATGTGAGGTAAAATTTCCTTGGTTTTGACAGGCATTCAGAAAAAGTGAGCACAACATGCTATATGACAAAACACTTTCATCAGTTAGTATTGCACGGATAATGGCAAACAGATAGCAGGATTGTGAGCAGAGTTCACACAAACTCCGAGTACAGTTGAAATTGTCCGAGACTGCCACACTTAGTCCAGGCAAAAATAGGTAGTCTAAGACAGGTGGACGTCTTGGACAGTAAAAAGTAAAGTTGTTCCCGCATCCGATCCGGACATTGGGGATTGCCTTGCTAGTGAGACAACTTCCTAGGCCTTCGGCATATTGTGGTAGGGTGGCCAGTTCCTTTCCATGCCGCCTTTACTTCCCAGACTCGAAGTCAGGTACCCATAACTGTTGGGTGGGCAGGAGGGGGCGAAAAAATCTGTGTCTGAACCGAAGTTCCAACCCAGAATTTCCACTTCGGAGACGAGCGCACTAACTGCTCAGCCACCGCACCCTCGTCTTGGACAGTATCATTATAAAATAGATTTTAAAATAAGAAGGGAAGCAGGAAGTGGTCACTGGTACCGATGAATGTCTTGGACAGGTGGCCATTAGATAAGTTCGACTGCACTTTTAACATTCAACTGATAAGCTTTACAAATACAAAGCAAAGAAACCTGAACAAAGCTTTCAGATTCTCAGGGAGCTCAGTCCTTCCTGCGTAACCAGGATTCATGGTAATGAAGATGCCTACAGTGGGCATGAGCTTAATGACCGTCCCCATGAAGTTGAATTTTTTTTTCTTGTCTCTGATACCATCTTGGATGCATTTGACCTGTTTCAAAGATGCAAAAACGACAGAAAATTAGAAGACAGTAAGGTAAATTACTTGTGATATATACACCAGTCAGTGAAGAGCACAGAAGTTGTCAAACGTCTATCCAAGAAAATTAACCCAGATCATTTTACAAAGGTAGTATTTAAGTTTCTAAAACACAGTAAAGTGCACAAGCATAAAACTTTTTCTTCATTAGGTGATGTTTTACTCTGGAGTGACTTTTAATGATCAGCAGACTAATATACTTTCCTTCAACATTTGTCTTTCAAGGAAAACATGTAACAGTAGTAATGTACACACAAAACTATTTTGGAAAAAGAGTACAACGCACACACAATATCATTTTCAAAAACAAAATCTTGACCAAAACTCAGTATATTCAACGCAGAACAGACAGCGAGCAATAGTCTCACCTGGACAGCAATGACAGACAAGACTTCCACGGCGATGCGATTGAATTCATCAAAACAGCCCCACGACCCGGACTGAGACAAGCCTTTGTAGATGTTCCCAACAGACTGGAAAAAACAATAAAATCTCTTGAGTTTGGAAATGACTATTGATTACATTGCATACTCAAGTTACATAATGTAAGAAGTGAAAAGAGTAAGATTTTACAGGAAATACGGATAACAGCCATTTTGTGTACGAATGTATGTTTAAAAAACATCTCCCCGTACAATTTTCAGACTTGGAGAGTAATTTTCCTTATCTCCTCTTCTTCTCTTTTATGTTTGTTACTCTCTTGTAACACGCTAATCTTCTGGCGCTCATATGACCTTATGCAGTTGAGAGCGCCGTAAAACCTCTACTAAAACAAAACAAGACTTGTAAATTGAAAAGATTTAGTGTTAACTTTAGCAGGAAGAGCAGGACATCAATGCTTTAAAAAATGCTCAAATACACTGTACAGCCAAGGAAGGTAAAACTTTAGTGAGTGAAGAGAAAAGGACGAAAGTTAAATATAGCCCCTCATTTCGAACTGGTAAACCTTGTACAAAACATGGCTGGTCACCAAAGGAATCACAGTTATGTCATACAGGACCAGAAAACAGCTGACTGCAATTGTCATGATGTGCATATATACATGGTGGGTCATACTTAACTTGTACCAACAACAGGATAGTCCCTCACTGACAAATGAACTTGTTAATTTAACACTGTATTACCTGTATTACCCATCCTGGGCAACGACGTCACTGCACACCGGACAGGTCCATAAGTGCTCATTTCCCCCCAGCACCAAAGCCCGCAAGGTATCCATACAATTTCACACTGTGCGTGGGGCTTTCTACATGAAACAGAAAGCCGTGATTCAACTTACCTTGTAGTCCATTTGTTCCGAACAGTTGAACACGTAGACCATGATCCCAAGCGCCCGGCCCAAATCCTTCGTCGTCTCCGTTTTCCCAGTCCCTGCCGGGCCGGCCGGCGCCCCACCCATTATCAGATGGAGAGATTGGGTCAGAGTGATGTAACATCTAGAGAGGAAAAAAAGAGTTGGATAATTTGTGGG